TTTGATTTATGAATTATAACAGACTGATTGGGGGGGAAAAATATTACTTTTTAAAAATTGGTTTTATTATTATTTAACAATTTCTTGCTTTTTGTTAGTTTTTATTAGTTGTAATTTTTATATAAACATTTAACTTTTAAAATAAAGGTTTTACAACAACATCACCATCTTCTGTTATATGTAGGCCTCCATGTTCATCTATTGTACAGTATATGATATTGGTGGAGGGTGGTGGGGGCCCACATCAAAAAAATTTCAGGGGGCCCCGAATCCTCTAGCTACGGCCCTGCCCGTCGCTGATGAAAGACTGGATGGTCCCTTTTGTCTTAGAAACTTGATATCTTTTTTCCCAAAAAACAAGCTGAAATGTGGGGTCATCTGACCACAGCAAACATTTCCACTGTCTTTTGGACCACCTGAGATGAGCTTGGGCCTATAGAACTCTCCGGCATCTCTGCATAGAATTGATGTATAGCTTTCTCCTTGAATAACACAAGATTCAAGGGACATTGCTTGATGAAGCAGACTGCTAAATGACAATGGTTTTACAAAAGTACTCCCGAGCCCATGTGGCTGTATTCAACAGTAGCATGACAATTTCTCATGCAATGCAATCTGAGGGCTCGAAGGTCATGCACATTCAACTGAGGTTTCCTGCCTTGCCCTACAGGTTCTGAGATTTCTCTGGATACCCTGAATCTTTTCACAATATTATGTATGGTAGAAGGTGAAAGACCTACATTCTTTGCAATCTTGCATTTTGAAATGTGATTTTTGAATTGACAATGCTCTCATGATATTTAGAAAAGTGGTGAGCCGTGACCCATCTTTGCTAGCAAAGACTGAGATGCTCCATTTACACTAAATCATGATACCATCACCCATTACCTATTCACCTACTTATTGTGGACTGTTTCAAAAGAGTTTAACTTGGATATTCTATATTCTTTTTTTTCTCTCGCCTCTATCCCAACTTTTTTGGAGAGTGTTGCAGCCATCAAAATTAAAAAAAAATTATATTTATAAAATACTCTTAAGTTGGTCAGTGAAAACTATGAAAATATTTTCTTTGTACTTTTGTCAGTTAAATAAAGGTTAAAGAGAATGAACAAACCACAGATTAATATTTTATTGCATTTTACATAATGTCCCAACTTTTCTGGATTTGGGATTAAGGACTAAACTCCTTGATAAAATGGCATCATGTTCTTTACAGATGTTTCCAGCAGTTGGTGGACTAACCTGTTGCAGAGCTGCATGGCCTCTGCAGCGGCAGTACCTTCATCCAGCAATGATGCATTGGCTACTGCCATTCCAGTGATGTCACAGACCATTGTCTGATAATTGAGCAAGCTCTCCAGACGCCCCTGAGAGACCTCAGGCTGGTACGGTGTGTACTGAGTGACCCTATAGAGAACACACACACACAAGAAAAAAACCTCACTAAAGCTCTAACCAAAGACCTTCAATTTGAGTCACAAGACACTTCTGATGCTGGGGCATGCTACTCCTTTATGTAATAATCATCCAAATGCAATTTGCTTTTTGACTAGAACTGTACTGACCATGAGAAACTAATGAACATGGTATTCTAGCTCGTGGCTGTAAATTTTAAGTCTCATTACAGAAACAAAGGGTTGGTGTGTCAAAATTGTTTTGTTGGTCCACTTTTTGACTGTGCTCCACCAAAAGGTGAAATAAATGCTTAAAAAACAAACATAGGCAAGACAATACATACATACCATCCTGAATTCTCAAGCAGGTTTCTTTGTATGACCTGAGGGACGGAGCAGTTATAATAGCCCATTCCAATATAGGACCTCCACAACTTGTTCCTCGATGCAATCTTTTGGAGTGAGTCGAGAATTTCATTCTCACCTGTGGTAATTAAAGTACAAGGATAAGAACGATTTGGATATCTGAGGTTAAAGCAAACTGTGTAAAACTCCCTAGGTTAATTAAACAGTGCTCGCATACTTTGATTTGACAGTAAAAATATGATCACGTCTTTCATATCTAAGCTCATTCTATAAACAAAAACAGCTTCATGGCTTCTCTTGCATCAAATTGAAATCAGCCTCATTTTACAAGTGACTGTGTGCCCACAATATTTTTAGGAAGCTTCTCACATGACTCATATAATACTTAAGAGTACATAGAGTACTTAACAACTGCCTTCACACACCTGGTATTTAAGCACACCCCTACAAAAATATCACACCGATTGCAACATATGACCTACATTGACCTGATGAATAATACAAGAGCACGTGATCTCACTGCTTAAGAGTTTTTTGCAATTTATAATTTAGTAGTTAAACGGTAGATAAAGGGCACATATGGGACATTTTCTGATGGCTTGGGAACTAGTTTAATGGTTGTAGTTCGAGGCCACTGTAGCCGGTTCATACCGAGACACAAATTCCAGAGGCATTGTGTTGCAGCTTAGCAACTGAGCGGGGCAAAGATAGTGCAGTAGTAAAAACAGCTAGAGAGAAATACAGATTACGGAAAACTACAAATGGGAAACTAGAGTGCCAAAGCAGTCCATTCTTGTTGAGCAGTGAATTTGCAGGATTTGCAGATCAAGCTCTGTGCAGCTGAACCAGCAGAATCCAGTATAGCCCCCCATCAGCTTCAGCATGGCTTGCTTCATTAAAGACACACACAAGCAGAGGAGAAAACGGACTCCTGCCATATGTCAAGGCTCGTAGTGTGACTATAACAAATTAGACCATACATCTTTTAAAACCTTTTTTGTCCTTCATAACAATGATTTGTGGAGGGGGAAAACAGTCTAGTGAGTGGTGTTATGTTGGCATAAGAACATTGCTCTTAAAATTAGACTTTTTTTTACATCTGCATAGTGTGTTAATATATAAAAAAAATGTGTGGTTTTAAATTTTAATAGTCGTATTGTCTGCAGAAATTAAAATTAAACCGTGTTATTCACACACCGGTGTACTATACGTGTTGTTTCTATGTAAATCGTCGCTTTTTATAGAAAATATATATTTTAAATAATTGTCTGACGTTATGATTGCCAATGCACCTCAAAGTTCTTCCTGTTATACGTCGTTATTCCCATCAAATTGTCAATTATTATGCAAAGTTATATGTTGAGCGGTGCACGCGTGATGTAATGCTACTGCTAACCAGATCAAACTGGCCGTGTGACGCTGAACTTTACACTCTAATTGTCATCCTATTGGCATCGGCTGAGGGCGTCAGGAGATTGGTGCTGCTCGCCGGGCTCCGCAAAAACAACTCCTAATATGTTCAAAGGAAGACTTAACGGTGAAAAACCCTCCAGTAAGGTCTATTGGCACACAAAGAGCGTGTAACCTACATTCCTCGCTCAGATAGACTCCTTTGTTAGAGTCTGGTCCGTTAGAAAAACCCCAATTCGAACTATTTCGAAATAAAAATATATGTTTGATATAAAGACAATGCAATTAATAATTCCGCTGCCCTAAAATCTGCCGCCAAAAATAGTTTTACATTACCGCTTAGCAGCTATATGAAATGCAACCTCGCGGTTTGCCTCACAGACAGTCAATGCAAATATATGATGAATTAACAACAACAAACGACACGTGTTTCCTCTGTCTGCCGCTGCTGAGAGGAGTAAGAGCAACTTACACACAGGATCGTCCATTTTCAAACTTCTTCCCAGGCGGATGGATGCGGGAATTGTGTTTTCTATTAGCTGAGCGATTGACTGAAATCAAAATCAAAATGTAAACCATTATATTGTTTATTAAATGTATTATCAACACAAACCGCGAAAATTGTTGCACATCAGAAAGTTGAAGATGCGGGTAAAATGCTGACATAAAGCGTTTAAATTGGCTAGCATTGCAGTATATTAGTTTAAAATATGTTGTTTAATTCGAATAAATAAGTCTTACCTCAAGTCCAAGAGTATTGAGCATCTCTCTTTTCTCTTTGTCACCCGGTCCAATGTGTCTTTCAGAGAAATCATCGTGTCTCGGCAGAATTCTTTCAATCTTTCTGGACCACAGAACCTGTGAGGTGCCCATACAGCGCACATTTGCAGACAAGTCTACAGTTAAACCGCGAAGTTTCTTAAAAACATCCCCTTTGCTGCTGATATTCCTACATGGCACGCGAGCGTTCATCGACCTGCTGACGACAACCCGCCAAGATTTAGCGCAGCTCTGCATGTTCTTCGCTTGAGATTAACGAAAATTGTTCACGATAATCTATCAGCCAGCCTCCACGCCGTGTACACCACTAAATGTCTGTGAAATTCCTTAAAAGTGTCTATTTATACGCCTCCTCGTTGCACAAGGAGCAGCCAATCGATAAGTGAACTGTCTCTGACGCATGGACAAGCCCCGCTCGCTCAGGTTCCGCCGTAACTTTCGAATGTGCCGTGGGGAGTTTAATACTTCATTAGGCTACTCATACAGCGGGTATCTGCTCGATATCCTTTCTATGTTTTTACATGCTTTGTAGTAGCGTTTTTGAACGCACAATACAACTCTAAGAAAAATGTGGAGCAATCAGAATGGAGCAGACGCTGGAAATGGGTTCCTCGTTCTCCACACCTGGGATTATTTAAAAAGAGAGAACTTTCAAGTCCGTTATCCATCTATCTATCTATCTGTTCTGTCTGATAGTAGGCTATATCTATCTATCTATCTATCTATCTATCTATCTATCTATCTATCTATCTATCTATCTATCTATCTATCTATCTATCTATCTATCTATCTATCTATCTATCTATCTATCATGTGCGTGTGTAAAAAGCGTTTTCTTGTTCTGTTTGAGATATTGTTTACTCATAACTTGGTTGGGACGCTGTCAGATTCCATTTAGGAAATAAGTACACACCTGTGACGGACTGAATGTCTGTCTATCTATGCACGTCTGAAATGCAGAAAGACATTTTGCTCTGAAAATCAAATAAAAGGCAAGTCAGCCATACTGTGCATATTCATCTTCTCTTTTACTCACGGTGATGCCTGGTGATGGATCTCGTTTGGATATTTTGTGGTGGAAACACACAGCTGTTTTACCAGTTTGTGAACTTACCATTTGCATTTCTGTTTTGTTGTTTAGCCAGACACGGACATCTCTCAATAATGAACAGGTACAACGTGATCCATGCTGTTACTCATGATTTTTGATAAATACATTGTCCTTTCTCCGAATTTTGAAGTCACTTGTGAAATGAAATAGCTGAAATTCATCTCCTACTGCATGCAAGGTACATCTATCTGACATTGGGAGGATTCATCCTGGCCATTGTAACAATGGGTCCATACAGCTTATTGCTGTTCTTCAGTGCCGTCCTTCTCCTGCTGCTGATCCACTGTCTACATCCAATGCATGTTCATCAGTGGACGCTGGGACTGCAGATGTGCTGGCAAACCTGCTGGCATTTGTACATCCAGTACCAGTTATACTGGCTTCAAGAAACACCAGACTCTAGGTACTGTATTTCTCCAAAGGTACACTGTATGAAAACATCCATACAGTGTACAATCCATACAATTTTATCCAATTTTGAGCTTTTGTTTTATTCCCAACAGACTTTTACTGGCCATATCCGCTCTCATGTTGATGACCCAGAGGGTTTCTTCTCTATCGCTTGATCTGCAGGAAGGAAAACTCTCTAGTCCCTTTCAAAACAGCAGTCAGGATCAACCCGTCCTTATTCAATTTCTAAGCTACTCACTTTATTTCCCTGCTCTTCTTGGAGGACCACTTTACAGTTTCAAAACGTTTGTGGAGTCTGTTAGGCAAATTAGTGTAACTCCACCCCTTGCTTCATATTTAGGGAATCTTACTTCAAAGATATTTCAAGTTGTAGTTTTGGTGTGGATTAAATATCCTCTCAAGGAACTCTTAAAATCAGTCATATTCAGAGTAAACAGCACTTGTGTTTTTCAAGATATATTATGGATCTGGATCCTGTCGCTGCTACTTAAGATGAACTATTATGCGCACTGGAAGATCAGTGAGTGTGTTAACAGTGCTGCAGGAATAGGTCTCCATGGTCACAGTGGAAAAACATCATGGGATGGGCTTTCTGATGGAAGTCCATGGGTGACTGAAGCGTCGAGTCGTCCTTCAGTTTTTGCACGCCAGTGGAACAGAACCACGGCGGAGTGGCTTCGAAGAATGGTCTTCAAAAGGTCCAACAGATCTCCACTGTTCATGACCTTTGGGTTCTCAGCGTGGTGGCATGGCCTTCATCCAGGGCAGATTCTGGGCTTTCTCATCTGGGCCTTCACTGTGCAGGGGGACTACAAGCTACATCACTTCTTGCATCCAAAGCTTACTTCCCTGTGGAGGAAATGGCTGTACGTATGTCTAAACTGGGCCTTTACTCAACTGACCATTTCATGTGTTGTTGTCTGTGTGGAACTTCAGAGTTTAGCATCAGTGAAACTGCTCTGGTCCTCATATATCTCTGTGTTTCCACTGCTGAGTATTCTGATGATTTTTATCCTGTGAGAAATTCATAGTTTCAGTTTATTTTATATAAATGTAATCCAATATCTCATCAAATATGGTAAACACAGAAGATTAACCAAGCTTGCTTGACCAGAAAAAAAAACCTTCTGAATGCAGATCAACGATGTGTGAGATGAGAATTATATAGGCCTAGCTATTATATTAAAATAAACATTACCTTAATAGCGCCTTATATATCGATATAACTATATACTTATAAATGCGCAATCTGTCACGCCCACTGGAGCCTCATCAAGAGCACGCATGCGCTGAAAAACCTCTGAAGTAAACCAACGGTTGCTATGGCTACTTGCATACCCTGCAAGTTTACCTCCGTTTTTGGAACCGAAAGTTGAGGTTTTACCCTTCCTTCATCCTTCCCTCGGGTCATTTTGACTCGGAAAATATTTTTGAATTAAAAAAAAAAAATAGTGTTCGTCGGAGGGGTCCAAGCCCCCAGGACTTTTGGGAGAGTAAATGATTACAGCATTTTCATTATTATTATAATTTTTTACTAATATACAAAAACTTTACACATTAATTAGTCAGAAACGACTACAAAAACAGTGAATATATATATATATATTTATTGTATATCATCACAAAATCAACACTACAACCTATGACTACAACATGCTTCTCCTACTGTGGTTATACTGCCACCTGGTGATGGGACAGTCACACAGAGACGATCTCTCCATTTCCACTGCGCACACGTGGAGAATACAAACTGATGGGATGTGAGCACTGGTCTCACAAACGATTTTGGACATTATTCTTAGTGAATATCACCGTTTTTTTTTTAATTATCCAAAAACAAACCCTTGTTTTAATCTGTGTGTCGTTTACATTATATAATGCGTGGCAGTGTTGTATAGGTATAATGTGGTGGTGCTTACTAGATTATATAATAAAAAAATTAAAAAAAATTATTAAAAATGCTTTGTATGAAGGCAAATGCCCCTGAATATAAAACAATAAGTGGTTGCCAACAGTATAATTCTTGCATGTAATAAAACTCGAAGGCTGAACGAATGACACACAAATCCTGTATAGCTCTAATTCTGATGTACAGAAATAAATCTGATCGGATTAACCTAAATTATTATTATTTCCCTGATTGTCACTTGCAGTTAAGGAAAAAAGCAGGTCTTGTCATCACCACAAAATTCAAACTCTGCTCATAAAACGAAAAATCCATTTCTGCAAACTACAGACACTTGCTCAAAAAAACAAAGTAAATAAAGTAATAATAATAAAAAAAACGCTACCAGTGTTTTTCTCTATTTATCTTTGGAAAGAGAATGTGCATTTAAGTGCAAAAGAGTCAAATATGCATATGACATCAAATTAAATTGCATAGCATGATTCTACAGGTTATGGCACATTTACATCAAGGACATATTATTTGATGATATAAGAATAAGTCATGATCACAGTTGGGGAAAGTTACTTTCAAAAGTAATGCATTACAATATTGCATTATTCCCTAAAAAAAGTAACTAATTAAGGAAAGTATTCCATTACATTACTTTTGCTACTTTTTCTCACCTGGGCTTTCTTGTATGTTTTTTAACAACAACAACAAAAAAAGGTTATATTTTTGGCAAATGTAAAGTTCCTTTCACACCAAAAGTGTAACGAATAAGCCTCATGATGAAGGAAATGCAAATTGACAGTAGAGGTAGAGGTCATTACACAGGGAAAAAAAGTAACTTGCATCACTTATTTGACAAAGTAACTAAGATACTTTGTTGTAAACTTAAAATGTGTTACTTTACTCTTTACCTTAAAAAAGTAATCTGATTACGTAATGTGTATTGTGTACTCAAGTTACTTGTAATGCTAGTATCACTGGATGTGACAAACAGTCAAAAGTGTTTATATAAACCTGAACATGATTCTGCTGACTCAGAGGAACATTAGTTCAGTGTACAATATTTTTGGGATGGCTGCTCATTAAGCAGATGTCAACATTAGCTACTAAGGCATCTTTGTGATTCCAAAGTCCTGTGTGTGTGTGAGTGTGAGTGAGCATGTACATTACACACATAATTTACACAACATATTCAGAGCAGACAGGAACTGCCCTACCAGCTCAGCAATGTGGTATTATACAGTGAAACACAAGACATGAAAGACAATGAAATATAAGACATAGCCCACTTTTTCAACAACTGCTCAAATACCATGTATTATTCTGATTTTTTTGCATAAATCTTTGTGGGTTTCTGAAACACAGTGGCCCCAAAATGTATTCGGACACTCAATTACATTGAATGTAATTGCAACAGTTCTCATTAATTTAGTTTAAACTAATAAACTAAAACTTAAAAAAAAAAAAAAAAAAACTATAGACACAAAAAGAAAATTACTAAAATGTACAAAAAAACCTAATTAAAATTGAAAATATAAAAATAAAATCTAATTTATAATATCTACAAAAACTACAATACTATATAAATGAAAATAAAATAACACTTAACAAATAAAACCAAGTGATATTTATTTTAAATACAATAGCAGTACACCTTTAAAGCAAAACATTTCAGAGAAAGACGTTTGTTATATTTTAAATAAATCAAATAAATTGTTTTTAAAAAAAAAGCCATTCAAAAATCACCTTGAGGCCAGTAAGTTATGTCAGAAATGAAAATCATTTGTTTGCGGATGCCACTTTACTTTTTGGAGCCACTGTATGCAGCTTATATGCATATATCATTGGCAGTTTCACATATTACTTAGCATGTATGCACACAGCAAACAGAGAAATTATAATATTTCAGATATTGTAAAATCATCATATACCTCACTAAATGCTTGTTAATGGAACAAGCATTTAGTGAGGTATATGATGATTTTACAATATCTGAAATATTATAATTTCTCTGTTTGATGAAAATTCTCATACATGATGAAATAATCAGCACTCAGTGCTTCTTTAATTATTTCTAAGGGCAAAAACAGGCTCTGAATTGCACGGGTCTCAGTCGTTGTCATTGTTTGCGAAGAAGTAGTGGCTTTAAACGTGGCAATGATGCCAGTCTTAAACTAATATCTCTCTGCTTGGAAGTTATGGGGTTGAGATAATAAAAAGCCTGCAGCCTTTTTGAAAGGTAAAAACATTAACACAATATGGCTTTAAACAGATAAAAGTTCATATTAAAAACAAAAGTAAAACACTGGTAAATTATCATCAATGGCTTTTAAACATCTGCAGAGTCCGCTTTATGCATGGGATGATCTGTAGTCTCAGTACATGTATCTGGTAGTTTGGGTTTTTTCTTCTCCACCAGCCTGTCAACAAGAACCACAAAAACCGCAGACAAAACAAGGCAGACGCCAGACAAGTAGAAAGCAGCACCGAAGTCATGAGTCCAGTCCACCAGCCAGCCTGTGACACAGATACACAAAAGAAACATGAGTCAGGTATGGGACATGGAGAAAGTCTGCTGTTAGCAGTCTGTATCCTCCCTACTAAAGCACCACCATGAAAACATATCCAAACCGTTTTCTACAGTGCAAAACCCGTTTTAAACTGCAAAACACCTCGCAACATTCGATCCTTTATGACATAACAGAGATTAACAGTTGTCAACAAATGCACACCTACTTAGCCCGGCTCGTCATGCTGTAGTTATTGACCTTATTTCCGAGCTGCGCCACGACCGGTATGAAAGAGAGGCTGTGAGGAATACACCACGTGACGTGTTTTCAATGGCATCCGCTGTAAAACGCTGTAATAGACGCATGCGAGTGATGCTGACGCAGGATCCGGCCAATACTGAGCCGGCGTTCTGACATAGAACCCGAAAGCGCTCCAATGCGTTTATTCAACAATTTCTTCTCTTCTGGGTCAGTCTCTGAAGCTATTCAAGTTGTAAAGTTTTGGGGAATAAAAATGTATTCTCGTCGCTTCATAACATTAAGGTTGAACCACTGTAGTAGTCGCATGGACTATTTTAACGATGTCTTTACTACCTTTCCTGTCCTTGAAAGTGGAAATAACGTCGCAGTCTATGGGAGGGGGGTTCAGAAAACTCACGGATTTCATCAAAAATATCTTCATTTGTGTTCTGAAGATGAACGAAGGTCTTACAGCTTTGGATTTGGAACGACATGAGGGTAATTGATGACAGAAGTTTCATTTTTGGGTGAACTATCCCTTTAAAGATGAACACTGACCTGCAGCAGGTGGACCCACAAATCCTCCAGAGCTCCGGAACAGCATGAAGAGCCCCAGAGAGCTGTCAAACCCATCCAGTCCAACAATATCCACGATACTCGTCACATGGATGGCCACCACACAGCCGAACAGGAAGCCATAGAACGAGCAGAAGACCAGGATGGTCCAGTAGCTCTGTGCAATGGGCAGCAGGAACAGCACCACCCCCAGTGCAGTGACCACCATAGTCAACAGCTGCAGGTTTCTCACGAGTCGCAGGTTAGCCAGCCAACCGCATGCCAGTCTGCCCAACAGGTCCGCCAATGCCAGCATTGACAGAACGGAGGCGGCCCAGTACTGCCCCATGCCCAAACTGTTGGCATACGGCACCAGAAACAAAGGTGGGATGAAGAAACCCGCTGCAGACAAGATGGCAAACACAATATATAGCAGCAGCTCAGGCCTCTGAATGAGATCCCACTGGAATGTGCCTTTTTTTGATGTCCTGCTTTCATCTTTTGAGTCCAGCACAAGTTTGCCTGGGATAGAGGTTTGAAGGGGCTTCATCAGAGCACCACACACACACAGATTCAGCTGAAGACCACCGATGATGAGTAGAGACCCCTGCCAAGAATAGCTGTCGATAAGCCACTGGAAAAATGGGCTGAACCCCATCGCAAAGACACACTCTCCAGAACTAGCAATCGAATAGGCAATGGGGCGCCAGCGTTTGAAGTAATGGTTGACCATGCTGTTGGCTGGTATCCAAGAAAATGAGATTCCAAGTCCTAGATCACACACAAAAAAACAATATGACAAATATGGAGGACAGTAAATAAATCAGTAGACAAAGACAAATATGTAACAATTTAATTTAGTTAAATCTAATATATATATATATTGATATGTCATGTTAAAATGCAAATTATTATTATTCATGCATATAATGTATGACTTTATTACTACATCTATAACATTTAGACATTTATTATTTAAATGGTTTTAAATAAATCCGTTTATTTGACTTTGTATAGAGTCAATTTTTTTTACACTAACAATCAAAAGTTTGGGTTCGGTACGATTATTTTAATGTTTTTGAAAGGTCTCTTATGCTCACCAAGGCTGCATTTATTTAGAAAATACAGTTAAAAATTAAATTAAAATAAAAACAATTATATAATTATATATATATATATATAATTATTATTATTATAAGTTAATATTAAAATAACTGTTTTCGGTTTTAAAATATTTGAAAATGTAATTTATTCCTGTGACGGCAAAGCTGAATTTTCAGCATCATTACTCCAGTCTTCAGGGTCACATGATCCTTCAGAAATCATTTTAATATGCAAATTTTCTGCTTAAGTAACATTTCATATCATTATCAATGTTGAAACCAGTTGTGCTGCTTAATATTTTTGTGGAAATCATGATACATTTTTTTTTTAAAGATTCTGTGATGTAGAAAGTTCAAAAGAACAGCATTTATTGAAATAGAACCTTTTGGTAACAATGTAAATTATTTTACTGTCACTTAATTAATTATAATAAAACATCTTACCGACACAAAACTTTTGAATGGTAGTGTAAATAAACACTTTACAAATTGACTGTTTAAGTAAATGTTTAAATGTTATAGATGTAATAATAAAATAATACATTATATACATGAATAATAACTTGCATTTAAACATGATTTATCAATTTTCATTTGACTCATTTAACAATAACATAAAATTATGTCTACTGATTTAAATGTTTATTTTTATTTAATAATTTGATCATTTTATTTTTTAAATGGCACTTGCCTGTATTTCTTTCATACTGTAGAAGACTAAGTAAATACTGTGTGCATCAAAGTTTGTTTCTAGATTAGTGTCTCTTAACCTCACCTAGTTTGTTTACAGAGTGTTTGAAATAACACACTAGCCTACTACATCAGTCTATCATATACCGTACATCAAATGGTATATATTTAAACATGGTAACAGTGCACAACATTCATCACATAAAACAGTGGTGTACCGGAGTCTGACCATGACCTATACCAAACCCTTTATGCCAAAAAGATTCAATATACTGTGAGGTCTTAAATGATTGCATAAACCTTCCATGTTTAATGAGTTATTTACATTTTTAGTGATAAAGTATGTTTATGAGCAGTAAATTCATTAAATGGAATTAAAATAAAAAATGTATTAAAACAAAATCCATAAAATGATCCCATGATGGGAACCCCTAAAAAAGGTTCTATACAGCACCTGATGGAACCCTGTAAGGTTCTATATAGAATCTTATCTTCTAAGAGTGCATGATAGCATGTTGCCTTAATGTAATGTTAATGTTGCCACTGTTACACACTACAAGACTTTGGCCCAGAGTTTTGCTCCGATTTGCAGTCTAGAGAAGAATAGTTGTCAAACATCAGAGCCAGTCTGTATATTTTGGGCAGAGATGACAGATTTAACAGAAAATCAGGCAGTGTATGATGGGCACAGACTTTCTCAGCTTCAGACTATAAATCCATCCTGTCGGAGGTTATCAAACTAGATATCAAAAAAACGATTTTAGAACACAAATTAGTTTCACCGGTTTTCATTTCACATGGTTCATGTTGAGTTTGTTGTGTGCGGGACGACTTTAAATGACTAAATGAGGTTCACATACTATCAGACTTTCGTGTATGATGGCCAGTTTTACTCAGCAAGTGCCTGGTGTTCAATCTGTTAAGATCTTTAAAGTTATGTAGTGTGTATTCCAGCCTTTATACACGTTAAAAAGAGGATTATGTGCTTAAAATTCCAGCAGAATTATAACTTAACTACATAAAGAGTAAACTAAACTTACCTTGCAGTACACCCACAGACAGATACATCCAAGGCAGACTGAGGCCCAAAGAGGCGATAATCATTCCTGAGGTAGCCAGAAGCCCTCCGACCATGATAACGCTGCGCTGGGACAGGTGCATACTGAGAGCACTGGCAAGAGGAGCTAAACAGACAGAAAAAAAGAAAACACCTTTCACTATGCAGGTCTGGTGCTTAGGGTGTCATCATGAAATGTCAGTTTAAAGAGTTTTTAAATAGTGGTTCTGAGACAATTTCTGTGGATAACAATAAGGGGGAAAAAATTCTCACCTCCCAAATGAAACACAGCAATGGTGGTTGAGGTCATCCATGAGGTAGTGCTAGTAAGGACACTGTAGTGATTTTGGATTTCGAGGAAAAACAAGCCAAAGTTCTTGTGAACAGCAGCAGTGAGGCCCATGATGAAGAAGGCCGAGGTCACCACAACCCAGCCATAGCCTCCATCCGGTGGGGTGGACAAATACCTCTCCATGCTGAATCTGACAATCGCTTCCCAACTTCTGTAAAAGAATGTTAAAACATTTCAACATAGGCGTATATTGACATTATACTATTTATTAATATTTTTAATATAGTATTTATTTTTACATGATCCATTTTGAGTTCAATTTTATACTTCTGTCCATTTTATTAGGTTATGTAATATTTCCATTTAGCTTTAATTTATTTTTTCAGTTTTAGTCATTTTCATACTTCGACTTATTTCTGTTAGCTGCCAAGGCAACTTTTAAAACTTTTTTTTTTAAGTTTCACTTTTTCATTAATCAAAATTTCATCAAAAGTATACTTTATTTCACTTCTATTTACCGGCTTACCAAAACAATACAATAGTCTTAGTAGTACAATAGTAATACAAAACAATATAGTCTATTTTTTTTTTGGCCTAAAAACAACAATACTGCGCGCTTCCATAAGATTTTTGAATGTTTGGATATTTTTGTGGACATTTCTTCATTAACCTTGGCAAACGTGCCAACATTGCCACACGGAGTGATAATCACTGACACTTGACAAATTAGCTAAAAAGCGGCGTATGTATTTAATTTAAAGTCCCTCAAACTTCCATACTGATGTACATTGAGGTAATGGTTCACACAGCCTGTTTTTAAGTTAGGAGCTATAAATACTATTAAAGTGTTTTGCTAGCGAGCAGGTCCGACAAACCGTTCTGTGATTATCCCTCCATGTGCCATAAGGTTGCTGACCCCTGGTAAATACAATTAACTAAATGACAAATTATTTGAAAGAAATGATTTTAGAATGTTATGTGATGAATGCATCTCTGTCAGCACTTCTCCAGCCTGTTCCAGTGTGTCATTTAGCATGTTGTGACCAAAAAAAAGAAAAGATTGCATTAAACTGTTTTCATATGTCACGTTTCCCATAATCCATTGGATGGTCAGGGCACCACAGCAGATGCACACTTTATAGACAGCTCTTTCCATTCTGGTGGTTCTTGGCCAGGACTTTAGTCTCCGCAATGTTAGGCCCATTCCATTACTTCATATTGTCAGCCTACTTTGTCCTCGGTCTCCCTCTTCTTGTACCTTCAACCGTGCCCCGGAGAATGGTTTTGGCCAGCCTGGAGAATCCGGTGGCGTGTCAATACCAATACAATTTCCTTCTTTTGACTTTTACCGGGAGTTCTTCATTTGGCCCAGTATGGTTTGATTTTTCATATGTACTGTAGGAATAATCATATACATTCTAGCTGCTACACTTCTTCAAACGTCATTTTAAAAAATGGCCATCAACTCAGCACCAAGAAGTACAAGCAGTAACCAAGACAGGCCTAACAGGAACTATCGTTCACAGTGGAAATCTGTAGCAAGTGCCAGAAATCATAAGATCGTGTGCGTCAACAAATGACCCACAATGCCTGCTCCACTGCCCAGCCCTGCTGCGATCACTATAAGCCAGTCCTTTATTGCCATTGACTCAGCACCACTAGCAGCAGGCAAACATACTCATGTTACAGTACAGTTCATGACAGCCTTGTCCTTGACTTGTTCCATCACCCATATTAGGCTACAGCTTGACATATTAAAGAAGCTATCAAACTGTCAGCAACCTCCAGTACAGAACAGCCTGATGTCCTGCAATCCAAATAAAAAGCTGCTTACCACCTACTATGGCATTCATGAGACCATTGTCACCTTTTAAAACATCTTGCTTCCCCGCTGATAGAATCCTGTTCTAATCCACTCAATTACTGTATGAATCTGTGGTAATGCAGACTGCTCCATATTATATAATGTCTATAGGTTTGGGTGTGAGAGTAAATACAGGCACTCCTGAGATTTAAGGGCAAAATCTCCATGTTTCATCATGCGTCTGCACTATTGTTGTGTACATCCAGCCTGTCAGGAATCTGTCTGCATCAGCATAATTGCTGCATGTTGATGCACTGTGTCAAATGTGAACTCATACAATTGGTAGAACTGTTTTTGGCGATTGCATTGTTCATAGAAAAATGATGCAACGGTGGCAAATTAATTAAATTTACAGTGAATAAATTTTATGAGAAGTTTGTGCAATAAACTGTTCCATAGTAATTCAGTCTAGGGTATAACTACCAATTTTCATTGCTAAATCACTTAATGTAAACCATTCGTTTTGCATTTACAAGTGCACTGGAATACGCTGATTTCAAGCAGCTGCCATTTTTAAATGGCTCCGGTGGGAAGAAAACGGGAAGTGTCGCCTTTAGTCATAGGAGAGTCGCGAATGCAATGGCATATTGTTGTGTTTAATGTAGAAATTAGTTATTCTAAAAATGTACATTTCTTTCATATTTTAGACTATATGTGAAATTCATTTATAAATAAAATATTTTTTTTATATATAATTCAGAACGTAAAAAAAGAAGCAGGAAGGAACTATATACATATCCTATATTGGATATTAACATCCAATAGTGTAAATCACGGCAGCAGCTTCAGGTTGGTAGTCCAAGGCACTGTTGTCTATCTGTACTTCCGGGTTTCTTCCCACCGGAGCCTCGCTTTCGATTTCAAAATGGCGGCTGCGTGAAATCAGCGTATTACACGACAATGTTGAAAAATCACAGGAAATAAAATCAATAAGCTCCATAAACAATATTACAGGACACAAAGTGAGTGATTTTATCTTTTTGCGCTGCAGTGGACACATTAAAACCCACACTGACATAGATTCAGACCAGGGTTGTTTTTACGATCCACTAACCAGCAAACACAATGGTCCCCTAACTTTAGTATTTGGTTCCTGTTTGGTCTTTTTTGGGGGGGAAACCAAATAACTTATTTTTTGGTTTGATTTTTTGCAACCATAAAATAACGTTTAATTGCAGGGAGGTTCTTTTTAAATACAGGGTGATAGCTGCAATAACCTAGAAATAACTCATACAGAACGTTCCCTTATTGTTTTATAAACCATAAAATAATGTTCCTATAACATTGCAGTAAGGAGGTTATTTTTAAATAACCTAAAAATAACTCATACAGAACGTTCCCTAATGGTTATTGTTTTACAAACCATAAAATAATCTTCCTATAACATTGCAGTAAGGAGGTTATTTTTAAATAACCTAAAAATAACTTATACAGAACGTTCCCTAATGGTTATTTTTAGGTTATTATTTTATAACCATGTAAACTAACCTTCCAATTTTAAACGTTGCAGATGTTTTTGTGTAATGACTTATACAGAGCTCTGAAATTAGTTTAGTACAGATTTAATCAAATGAAGCATAAATTAGATCAATCAAAACATGTTATAATGATCAGATGAATCCAACTTTGTGTTAAGATTTCCAGAATCCAGGGTTTAACCAGGGTTAAGCGTGTGAAAAAAAGCACAGTGAAAAGCACAGAAATCATACATTTGTGGGTTTGTTTTTTATCTTCATTTACTACACGCGAAAGCGTTATTTAAAAATTAACGGTCACTTCGTTTTATTAGCTGGCTGACATTCGTTTATCGATCTCTTTATTGAATAAATGAGCAATATCACACGTAGCATACGAATAGTAGCATACGAATAGTTTGTTCTGATTCTCGAATCCGATTGGCTGCCCTTTTCCAGCCATCCGATAAATATGACCTTTCTTAATACCAAGTACGGCATATAGGCCTATAAAATAACATTATTTATTGACCTACCTTTAATTGAAATGTTCACTTATAATCTTTAATATTTGGCCACTTTTTTTAACGATAGAAGCAGAGTGCCGAAGTTACGACGTCATAACGTAGGCCAAAACGCGGAAGTGAGTTAGCATTTTAGCACTCCCGGTTCCCTCACTCTAAAGTCTATGGGATTTTTGAATGGGTTTTTGCTAAATCGCCCTGAAATAAGGTCTGTGGTGAACAAAGCCTCTAAATATTTTCATGTTTTGATTTATGACATAGAACACAAAGTTATAACCTGCTTGTGGTTTTTTAAACTTTGTGTCTGCTTGTGTTTTTTAAAAACTTTATAGCCTATAGGGAAAATGTATAAATTTTGGATTAACTTGTAAAGATTATCTTGATAGACAAACGTGTAAGGGTCACAACTCTTTGTTAAACACAGATCTTAGTCATAGCTTTTCGATCGAGGCGGGAACACGCCGCTAGCTTCCAAGTTGTCCTACAAAGTGACGTCATCACTTCGGCACTCTATGCGGATCGAAGGTTTAAACTTTTATTTTGAAATCGCGATGAAAGTTCCCACTGATGTGTGTGCTAGTTTTGTAAATCATCATAGCACTATGCTATGCTATATTGTGCTTTTTAAATATATCTTGCAGCCTTAGAAAACGATCTAATAATGCGGTTCAAGGATTCCTTTTTTTTTTTTTTTTTTTTTTTCTCGGTTCATGGATTTTCGTATGTGGAATCAATACATCCTCCTTACCGTCGCGGGTGTGCTTGGATGATTAACTTATTACAGCGACGGTAATGATATCAGCGGTTAGGGGACCGTTCTAGTAAAGTAAGAATCGTTAGGGGAACTTTAAAATGACGTAAGAATAACGTTCTACAAAAAAAAAACACGTTCTAATTCCGTTAAGAAAACGTAAAGAACGTTCTGGGAACCAAAAAATGTCCGCTGGGTATACAGTTTTTATTAATTTTTTTAATTAGTTTTTACTTTTATATTTTCCATTTAAATAAAGTTTTAGTAAATGTGTTGTGTATTTTATCCTTCGTATTAGTTTTTTGGTCTATATACATTTATTCATTTGGATTTCAGTTTGAGTTATTTTAGCACATTTAACTAAACGAAAATGAGAAATGTTTCATTGGCATTTAGCTGAAATAAAAATATATTTAAAAGCTTTTTTAATATATATATTCAGTTAACGTTTATTTTATTCAAACACGAAAATGTTTTAATGGTTTTAGTTAACTGATTCAGACAAGAGTGAATGAATATTCAACTGAAAAATTAAACAAGAGTATTCTTCATGAAGTCGCGTGTACCAGTGTAGGCTACTAGTGTTGCCTACAGAAATTGACATACAAAAATAAACCAAATTATTAATTGGAGTAATAGTGAACAAGCCACGGTCCCCTACATATTGTTTATACTGTAGGCTATCTTATTCCGGAGTGTCTATTGATCGTTGCTGCTTTTTTTTCTCCATAAAGGATTAATGATGTACGTCGGCGTTTTGAAATAAAATCTGCTCTACATGGTAGGGAAATTACTTACACCAGAGGTGCGACCGCACTCTTCTCCTCTCCTGTACTCGGTCAGGTCCTCTTCATGTTGTTCATCGCAGTCTGTAACACAATAGTAGTAGCAGTGTGTGATGCTGCCACTGATGTGAGTGGATCTCTATTTATAAACTCGCACGACTTTGGCCACACCCCTGCTCAACACGCTTCCATATGGCAAGCCGTTTGAACATGTATTGCATTAAAGTCGGCATGAAATGGAAGTTGCGGTACAATTTTATTCCTTATTTGTGCCGTATATCCGAGTGAACTGGCTTCTCGAACAAGAACAAATGTAGGGCGGGATTTGATTTTATCAGTCGGGAATTTACTGGATTGTTGTTGTTTGCTATTGTTGCAATCATTGTTGATCTCATGTGAGTGAATAGTTGTCCTGATCACACTTGATCAGAGAAGAGATGTCCTTATAAGTGGGAGGCAGGGGCGCCCTAAGAAAACAAAAGGATCTGGGCTACAGCATTACGGTAGGCCCCCTAGGCCAGATAAAACTTTTTTTTAGCTTCCTGACAATTATTTATGTAGAAATGTATCTTGTCGAGAAGAAAACACTGTACTTACTCAAACATCAGTTCCCCTTTCGAGAACAGTCACTTCGTATTGCGTAGCTAAAACGCAGCGGGGAAACTCCTTTCCTCGAGAATATTGAAGCCTATATTTTAAAATGCAGTGCAGCTGCACAGCAAGCACAGTAGAGCATCTAGCTCGCCCATTGGCTGTGCTGCAGCAACTGCACATCCTATGGCGAAGCGGCTCAGACGCGCGAACCAATCAGACAGCTTCGTGCCTAAGCACGTCAGAGACCGCCAGAATGGGCGTGGCTTATGGCTATATAAGCCCACCACTTCGCCATAGCATCAGATTTAATCTCCTTCATCGACCTTTCACGCAGGGCCGGCTCTAGCCCTTTGGTTGCCCTAGGCGAGATTGATTTTTGCGCCCCCCCCCCCCCCCCCCCCACCCCCCCCACCCTTTAAAAATAATGAGTATTTATTTAACTAAACAAAAATGCTCTTATAGTCACTCCAAAACTTCAACAAGCAAATTATGACTTGAACTGTAATAAATTGTTTATACAAATGCTAAAAAAGAACGTTCAAGGATATTTCAATCATCCTACATAGTTGCATTGTTTAAATACATATTATCTGACCATGTAACTTGTAGTAGATAAATTACAATTACTACCACCACTACTATTATTACTAATCCATTAGGCTGCTACAAGGCTAGGGGGGTACGGGGGCATGATCCCCCGTAAGAAATCTTTTGTGCATTTTAATGTTAAATTCATCAATCTGGTGCACTTTGAGAGTTCAAAATTAAAAGCTCCAACCCATATTCAGTGTTCAAATTAAACAAAGAAAAATTCAAACCTCTTTTAGTTAGTGTCTGTCTACATTACATAATAATAGTTATAATATTAATCCCATGATAATACTCATTGTAAAACAATGCACTGAAAAATAAAGGAAACTTTCATAAGTTTTGTACTAATTTCTATACTAATAGAAAGAGTATTTTTCTGTACTTCACATTAAAGATGTGATTGGGCCAGCCCAGTGTCAATCAAGAAAACAACCAATGGGCCGCTGATCTACGCGTTTCATGCGGTGTCAGAAAAAAGCTTTTTTTTACCAATGCATTACACCAGCACTAACCCAGCGCCGCCGATTAAGCAAAACAAAACGAATGGGCTATTTCTATTTTAGCCCCCGGCCGCTTTTTTGCTTTATTTATCTTTTTCGACGACAACTCACTACTCGTGCCTGTTCGCTCAGCGCTCACGGCGCCCGCTCGCGATATTATTGGAGGGGGGTCCCCTGTCAAAATTCTATGATGAAATCTTATGAGGGCGCCTACTCCGCTACACATACCGGGTATACCCACTTTTTGCGCCACTGGCAGGCTTATGTAATTGCTCCACTCGTTGCAGTGTTAATAAAGTACAATAAAAGCGGAAAGTTCCTTACGCGGCTCTGGCGCCCCCCCTAGGGTTTAAGGCGCTTGCGCCCTTAGCATTTGCCTATACTGCCTATGCCACGGGCCGGCCCTGCTTTCACGTCTCTGCCTCATTCCGAAGTCTTCGCCGTAGAATCAAGCCCTCTCAGCTAGAACGAGCCCTTGTATACAGCGGACAGCACCTTCTTCACTCACCTAGAAGCCGCTTCTCTTCTGTCGCCGTTCTCCTGTGGCCATCCGGCGAACACGCATCCTTTCTCTGCTAACTGTGTGCTCGCCGTTGCGACACCGTCTCTCTTTTTTGGAGAACGCGAGCATTGTTCCAAATGCCTCGCTCTCCCTGCACTTCGTGCAGATCCCTTCTGCATGAGGCGGACGGGCACACGGAGTGCACCACGTGCCTGGGAGCCGCCCACGCGGAAGCTGCACTCTCTGCCGGAAGCTGCTCTCTGTGCAAGAGTTTGCCCATCTCCATGGTGCGGACGCGGTTAACTCTCTTCAAGGAAGACGGCAACACCCGCTCTTCCTTTCCCCGCCCTACTTCAGCCACGGAAGAAGAAGCGCCGCAACCAACGGCAGCCCGAGCACATGGAATTAAGTGAGCCCACACCGGCCACGTCCCCTCGTGCCTCTCTTTCTCTGTCACAATCTCCTTCACCGGTCCCGTTCACTCAGGGTGGACCAGCGCCCCTCCCAACGAGCGGCGGGTCTCATCTCCTTCGGTGGATCGGACGAAGGGCACAACGACAGCCTCTCCATTGCTGCGTCTGAAGAAGAGTGGTCGGGCTCAGTTGACCCCGCCCTCCTCTCCCTGCCCGCCCACTGCTGCTTGATGGAGAACTAGTGCAAGTTTGTCCCATAGGCGCTAGGGCCCACTCCACAAGAGGCATGGCTTCTTCGTGGGCTTGGTCTAGTGGTGTACCAATTGAAGACATATGTGCAGCGGCCGGCTGGTCCTCGCTGTCCACATTTGTTTGGTTCTACAACATGGAGGTACCTTGCTTGCAAGCTCGAGTCCTCTCCATATGATAAGTAGTCGTTCAGTCTAATACGATTTACTGTCCATAAGCACAAGTCTGTCCTAGGAAGTAATACTGTTTATAAGAGCGAACCTGACCTCAGGTGCTCCGGCCCCTCTTATATGTTATAGGACCTGACTCAGGTCCGGTCCCCTTCATATTCTTGTCGGGAGCTTTTATAATGGCTTGTGTCTTACTGTGAACCTCGGGTTGTTGCCCTAGGCTCCAGTTGGGACGGAGTCAGTTGCTAATAGTGCGGCGTTTTACATTGCGTCCCCACTGCGTATTAGCTACGCAATACGAAGTGACCGTTCTCCAAAGGCAACGTACTCGGTTACTAACATAATCTCGGTTCCCTGAGAGTAGGGAACGAGTATTGCGTGGCCTGCCGCACTATTGCAATCGGTCAGTTTTTTTTTCCCGCTTAACAGTCGATTTAACCTGATGCTATGGCGAAGTGGTGGGGTTATATAGCCATAAGCCGCGTCATTCTTGCGTGCTTAGGCGCGAAGCTGCCTGATTGGTTCATGCGTCTGAGCCGCTTCGCCATAGGATGTGCAGTTGCTGCAGCACAGCCAATGGGCGGGCTAGACGCTCTACTGTGCTTGTTGTGCAGCTGCACTGCGTTTTAAAATATAGTATTCTCGAGCAAAGGAGTTTCCCCACTGCGTATTAGCTACGCAATACTCGTTCCCTACTTTCAGGGAACCGAGGTTACGTAAGTAACCGAGTACGTTCTCTACTTAGCCTACCCTTGCATGAACGACCCTATAGGAATGATATTCGTATTTGTATCATTTATTTTTAATAAATGGAATTTTATAATTTTCCACGGCACACACGAAACACGACAATACACGAACTGGAAACATGACATTATTATAGGCATTATATGGAGGTATGAAAATAAAATGCCATCAAAACTTTTCTGGCCAAAATGTGAGTTTACAACTCCATGATATAAATAACAGAAATTATGTAAAATATTTATTATTCATTAGAAGTAGATCAAATATAATCACATGGCATAAATGTGGGCTATTTGGTGAAGAAAAAGTTAGGGTTTTCAAGCCACCAAAACGCAGTTGTCATGTAAATGAACGGTCAAAACACATTAAAAGTCTTCCGTTTTTAGTTGAAATTGTCGTGTAAATGGCCCCTGAAAGTATTCTCTAATTTTGACCAGAGTTCTTCAATTGTCTCATTTAAATTTTATATACTGTGCTTCAGAATATATTTAACTTGTGAAATATGCTAAAATTTAACAACCTAGCATTGTATTAATGTAGCGTTCACGCCAGTCTGAAGATGACAACATGTGACGTTATATTCGGACCTGTTCAGATACTCAAGACTGGGAATCATGCATTTGTTTGGCACCATTATCAATGCCTAATTGAATCTGTAGCGGTCAGGCGGTGTACAGCTGTGGTACAAGAAGTAGGAGCCCTCAGAAAACTCATTTCTGAAAAGCTGTAATTACAAGGTCTATATGGATAATTATGACATGGCGTGAACACACCTAATATCAGTTATGTTCTTAGGAGACGACTGGAGTGTTTTAATACCAGATGGATGCGTGGCGCCATTAAGCATGGCAGGAAAAAATATTATGGTTTCGGGGACGCGTGTCTCAAGAAGTTTGAAGACACATGGCTCAATATGCTGGAAGAAACCTACCTGCAAATCAGTAAAAAAGTTTTGGGGCACTTGTGTAAAAATGCTGTAAAGTGAGGATGCTTTCAAAAATAATGTCATAAATAGATTTTATTGATCAGTTGACGTCTATTAACTAAATCAAATCAATATTTGGTGTGACCACCCTTTGTGTTTAAAACAGCTTTTGTCCAGTTACAATTGCAGTTTTTCAGGAAGCTTTGCAAGTAGGTTTCTTCAAGCGTCTTGGAAACGTTGCCACAGTTCTTCTGGATTTAGTCTCAGTTTTTTCATGTAATGCCAGACAGACTCGATGATGGTGAGATCAACTCCTTGTGCGCACAAAAATCTCTCTAATTAATTGCAAGAGGAATGTTTGGAAATGTAAACTTGATATTTCCTACTGACACAAATAATGCTTAAAACATGCTTAAGACTTTTGCACAGTATTATATATATATATATATATATATATATATATATATATATACACACATACATACTGTACATATAAAAATCTATGATATATCTTTGTATAAAGCACCAGAAAATAGACATTGGATTAAATATGTAAATGTCCATGAATGTAAGATATGGTAGCGTTTGTGCAAAATGTTTTCTGGGACCTGTTAAGGATCAAATCCAGTGGTCAATGTTTTTTTGTCTTGGTATGTTTTTTTTTTATTCACTGCCATTACTTTGCCCGAATGATGACCATAAATGTGGCTGATGAGTAAAGCCACATGACTGAAACAGATGAAAATATAGTTTAAGGAATAAAAGGCATGCCATACTTCCACCCATTCTCTCATACACTTTCATCAAAATACTGCTTTCACTAATGCATATGCAACACATAAATGTTGGTTCAATTATTAAAGAATATTTTTTCCACACCCATTTCTCTGAAACATGAGCTGGTTGTCAACCTGGAATCCTCCTCCTGCCAGAATTCATATTCATGTAAACATGTTCAACATATTAGAATCAATATCTGTAACAATCTCTATCTGTATAACACACAAATATATAATGTGAGTTAACAGAGCTCTTGTAAATGTGAAAGAACAGATCAATTACAGTACATCAACATGAAGTCTTCTGCACTGTCCTGAATTACTGAGAAGACACTGTCAGCATATCAATGGTTGCTTCAATAAAACAAAACTCTGTATTGTGAATGCCATGGTTACTATATAAATGTTAACTAAACAATGAGAGCCTAATCCAAGCTGGTTTCGGGACCAAAATCAGGAAATTTAGGAACTGCAGAAAAATTGGCATCATAATCCAAATCAAATTGTGATTTTATAAGCAGTGTGAATCATGATAGATGAAAATGCATCCTAATATCTGTACCTAAGTTATTCAAAATAAGACACAATGTGAACGGCAAAATTACAGCGATATGATTAAAAAGTCGTTCTCACTTTGGATTGTGGGAAACGACTGAACTGTTTACATTTCAGTAAACAATGAAAGGACAAAGCAAAGCAGAATGTTTGGCTTACAGGCCAATGCTTGTTATGTTAACATGCTTCAATTGTCACAAAATAGTTCGGAGTAGTGTACTCAGATCAGTTTCATTTCGGAAACTTTCAAATTTGTGCAATAACACAAGGGTCAGTCGGTGTGGTGAAAACTGGTACCAGCCAGCGGTAAGAGGATAATGTCAAGTCTATGTTTGACACCCCGCACTATTGCCATTCCAAAGCTCCGGGGGGCTGACGGATCAGAATACACACACCGCATGTTCTTTTGAAGTAAATAAATATCAAACTGTTTGAGGACAAAAAACAAAAATGTGTTTCTACAGTCTATCCATAGAATCCCTTGAATAATTGTGAATAGCAGTTTGACCGACTGTGGCGCTGAAGAGCAATACGTTACCGCGTACTCCACATGTCCATTGCTTTATAAAGAGGTTAATAGGGAATATACCACTGGGAAATGGCTCATTAACGGCTATGTTGGGCTGTAAGAATGACTGACATACATTAGCATTTTTTATTCAAAGAAAACCAGAAAGACTTACAATAGCAAGATCTTTTATATCTTTTCAGTCAGACACCACCTGCATTACAACAAACAACCAAATAACAATTATATATTTTTTAAAAATCTTAATTTACATGACGCTGCTTCCAAACAATTCATTTCATTTTTATAAAATTATAAAATCATCTTTATATATGTACATACAAACACATGGATGTAAAAATGCACAGCTCTTGCATTTCTTAATAAAACGATTCATTCATTTATACCATCGCTGATAGAGGGCGCATGCCAGCACTGCTAGCAAAAGAGAAACCCATTCTTGATATAAATGACGTTAATTGTTCAGACAGAAGATGAGGTGATCAAGTACTGGGGTTAGATCTGCCGTAATGGCACAAAGAAGGATTTTAAGACAGCGGACAGGGCCAGAGGACAGACTCAAAGCTGGATATCTGGGTGGCAGCGGTGAGCGAGTGAAGCTTCTCTCTTAAAACTCAGGCACTTGGGTATATCGGTCTGAATCGCTACTGTCCCGGATCAGGTCTACACGGAGAGCGAGCTCCTTGAAGGTTGGCCGAAGACTGAGATCGTTGTCCCAGCATTCCTGCATGATCTCGCACATCTAAAAGAATTCAAAAAGTCAGTGTTTAACAAGAGCTGATTTACAAAGACCGGTTTTTGACCTGAATTATTTATCATTTACACAATTATACACTACCATTCAAAAGCTTGGGGACGGTGAGAATTTTTTAAAAGAGATAAAATAAGTCTCTTATGCTCAGCAAGGCTGCATTTATTTGATCAAAAATACAATAAAACAGTAATATTGTGAAATATTATTACAATTTAAATGACTGTGTTCTATTGTAATATATTGTAAAATGTCATTTTTTACTGTGATAAAAGCTGAATTTTCAGCATCATTACTCCAGTTTTCATCATGAGTCACATGATCCTTCAGACATCATTATAATAGAACCTTTTCACGGACTGTGATGACGTGTTTCCAGTTTTTAATATTTAAATTTTAAAAAAATGTAATACAGTTGACATTGTGTTGAATGTGTTCTGAGATCTGGTACCTCTGAGGGACAGCCCATAGGTAGGGGTAAACGGTTTCCTCTTTTCAAGAGTTCAATGAGATGATAGACTATCGTTTGTCCCTGCTTGTCACCTCCCATCATACTCAGGAAAACCTGAACACAACAAAATAGAGCTTCTTATTTAACAGTTATTCTATGGGGTGTCGTTGACAGGTTCTTTGGACATGTCCTGTGTGATTTACATAGCCAAAGCAATTCAAAACAAGCAACTGTTAAATGTTGCCCTTATTGTGAATGTGGCATGTCCAGAAAACAAAACAAGAAATGGCAAAGAACAGCTGTGATACTTACTGTAGGTGGGCTACAGAGCTTGTCACTGTATGTAAAGAGTTCATACAGAACCACTCCAAAACTCCAGATGTCTGACGCTACTGAGAACTTACTCTCAGTAAGAGACTCGGGCGCATACCTGCCACAACAAACACAGAGGTTTAGAACAACATGTCTAAAAAAAAATATGACTAAAAAGACTTTCCTCTGGAAATCTTACTGCTGATCATCTTTTGTGTTCCAACGAAACACGAAAGTCATACAGGTTTGAATGAGAAACAAACATACCAGAATATAGGACTCTCTCCAGGTTCTTTAACCTTGTAGTACTCTTTGTCCTGAGGTAAAACCTTGGTCAAGCCAAAGTCACCAATCTTCACCCTGAACTCACTCTCCACTAGGATGTTTCGTGTGGCCAGGTCTCTGTGAATGTACCGCTTTGTCGCAAGGTATTCCATTCCCTGTAGAGACATAGCAGACGTGACAATTTCAGGAGACTCAAGACTAGGGTTGGGTATCGTTTGAATTTTAACAATTCCAATTCCGATTCCAATTCTGATTCTTATCAATTCCTAATTTCGATTCTGATAAGGTAAAAAAACAACAACTTAGATGTCTTATTTAAACATTTAAAACATTTTATTGTAGCTGAATACCATGAACAAAAACCAACAGGCTAAAGAACACTAACACAAGGAACTTTTACCTATGGTTTAAAAATATCATAGCGAAAACAACTAGCATAACTAAAATAAATTTCAAGAATACACGAAAAAAACAAATGCGGTTTTAGAAGAGAAATCACATACAATTGTGCAACAGGTATGATTTAGTTTATAGCACTTCTCATTCATTTCTATTTTTAATCAGGTTTGGAGCTAAACTCTGCAGGAAAGTGGATCTCGAAGGACAGAGTTGAGAACCCCTATTTATTTTAGAGCTTGGTGTAACTACAAAAGTGTATATTCACTTTAAAAATGCATATGGAATCTTAAGATTTTAATTTACATGACATTATCAGGTCTATAAATCACACTTTTTCGTATATGGGTTTAAGACAAAGAGAATCCTGGTTCTTCAAAGAAAATAAAAAAGGGGGAGAATTATTAAAATAAATATCTTGATTTTTAATTGTTTTATCTTATTCTAAAGCTTGTTTGGTCTCATTTCAAATCCTGTTTTCATCTTGAGGCCCCCTGCTTGAGAACCACTGGTACAAGAAGAAAGGTCTTTATTACCTTGCATATTTGAGATGCATAATGCACAAGTTTCTTGTGGTCAATCCTGTCTCTGTTCTTGTTGAGATAGTCTCGTAGACTTCCGTAAGGCAGGTACTCCATAATCAGTCGAAGGTTTCTCCTTCCTGAGAGAACAAGACATTACGATAGAGCTTGCAATAAGCCGACATTAAGACAGAGGCACAGTTCTTCAATGTGGTCAAAATCAATCAAGAAACAATGGAGAGCGCTCAATAACTGGATGCACACGGTTTTAAAAATGATGCACTTGTTTGGGGGTTCTCCTCTGGCTCGGATTCGATTTCTCTTTGAGACAAGAGCTGGGTTTGGTGCATTTATGGAAGTAAAATATTAATCCACAATGCAGGATAATGCAACACACCAAATGTTTTAAGCATTATCATCTAATCAGTCTGACCAAGATGATTCAAGCACTTCTAGACAGATGCAAGAAGTTTTATTATATCAAATTAGAAATTAAGTTTAGTAATTAAATTTGCAACTAAATGAAAGTGTACATGAAAACTAAATGACAGCCTATACATTGTTGATTGGATGGAGGCAGATCTAAATGCAAGCTTGTGGAAGAAGTCATTTCACAAGAAGATATTTTGATTAAAAAAATGGCAAGGTTTAAAAATAAAGCATATACATGGATAAATTGTTAAAAATAAAATCAATAACATTTGACGAATTTCAACAAATTCCAACATGCATTAAAAAAAATTGATTGGGCGAATTTTCATTTCATGCTTTATATGTTTGAACTGGACAGCAGATTTTCATGGGAACACGTGTAATTAGACTGTGATCCTTTATTAATGCTATTATTGTCTCACAACTTAATTTTATCTTAATAATATTGAGTAATATTAATATTAATCAAAACATGGCTTATAATGCTCAGTTACTGGCACTCAAAGAAATGCCAACTTGATCAATGCTGAAAAAATGAACAGAATTTTGAATGTTCTTGTTTATTGGTGATCTCTGGTGGTAAATGGCCTAAATACCCCTTGTTTCATTTCTATTCATTGCTTGTCTGGAATCAAACTTTGATTCCGACCAAGCAGTTGAAACAAGTGTAACAGCACATGCCAATGCATCTGACAGCACTACACTCTTATTCATAATTATCAAGCAATATCAATTTAGGCAATCGTAACAAAATCTGATCTTTTACTGAAAAGACTCAAAAGAGGGTGTGGTAATTCTGAGTAAATGTTTGGGTCTAAAGATGATGCATCTAAAGCAACAAGAGGTTTCACAACATTACTTTCGTCCCATACCTGCACCGTAGCACACGCCTTTATATTTCACAATGTTCTCATGCTGGAGGGATTTGAGGATCTCGATTTCCCGCTCAAAGTCACGGATGTGTTCAGTGGTGCTGTGTTGCAATTTTTTCACTGCCACCACCTCACCGGTGTTGTCCTGCAGGGGATCATACCTGCACATTTCCACACTGCCAAAATTTCCCTGGAAACAGGAGATAGATACTGTGGTTAGCAGCACACATTATTATTATTACTTTAATACTATTTTCCAAATATTGTGGCAATTGAAATAGTCATAAAAAGATTTTTCTATTCGACTAGTAGTCGTTCAATTAAGCGATTAGTCGACTAATCGCACGTGTATATTAATGATTCATACAAAAATCATAATCAGTGTTGGGTGTAACGCGTTACTGTAATTTAAATACTCATCCACTGAAAAGGTAAAGTAAGGGATTGCTATAAATTTGTAGGTAATTTAATTACAGTTGCTTATAATGTACTTGCGTTACATACTGTAAATTAGTTCAACAGTTCTGCAGAAATCAATATTGAATTTAAAATCTAAATTTATCACCTAAAGGTAAAAGTGAACGCTGCCTCTTTAAAATCGTTAGCTGTAGTGCAGTTTTGGTGTTGGTAACGTTGTCTGAAGTGGAATATGTCGGCAGAAGCGAGTGGCTGTTTTACAAATGGAAATATTCCAATTACTTCACTTTTTTTTGACACAGGTAGACAAGAACATTACGGTACAATGTAAGCTATGTCCTGGGGCGAAAAAACTATCGGGCGCTGTCAATAGCACAAGTAATCTACTGAAGCACCTGACTAGGCAGAGCATCGACGAACTCTTTTGAGTGATCCATGTTCGTCGACAGATAACGCTAGGGCAACCCCTGTTAAGCAGCCAAAAGAGATACAAAGCCTTACTAAGATACTAATTACCTTTTCAAAAAGGTGGCAGCACAGTCAGCTGAGCAGTAGAAATTAGTTTTTGTTGAAAAACATATGACCGCATATAGTATGCATGAAATATGTTGGTCATTGCTTTGAAAATTTACAGCTTGATTTTTGCAGAGTAATTATATTTTTTGTTATTCAGATATTTGTTAGAGGAATTCTGACCGTTAACTAAAGGTTACAGTGAATTAGAAATTAGTTAATTTTGTTGAAACACATGAATACATAGGCTACATTATGTATGAAATATAATATGGCACTCGTTGCTTTGAAAGCAAGTTTCATGTTTACAGCTGGATAACATGTCATTTAACATCTCTTAAAGGGATAGTTCACCCAAAAATGAAAATAAAGTCATTAATTACACACCCTCATGTTGTTCCAACCCCGTAAGACCTTCGTTCATCTTCGGAACACAAATTAAGATATTTTTGATTAAATTTGAGAGCTGGATCACTGCTACATAGGCTTCCTAAGGGAGTGAAACTTGCGGCCAAGAAAGTCATTGAAGAAAATGTTTAAATAGTCCAAGTGACTACAGTGGCTCAACTATAAGTTTATCAAGCGACGAGAATACTTTTTGTGCGGAAAAAAACAACAAAAATAACGACTATTCCTTTTCTTCCTTGTGGGCCTGAGACGAGAGTTGAAGAGATTTCCAGAACGCATGCGCGAGAACTGAGAAGAGGACGTTCTTCTTCTACTACTCCTTGTTCAGTTCTCGCGCATGCATCGTGGAAATCTCTTGAACTCTTGTCTCAGGCCCACAAGGAAGAAAAAGAATAGTCGAATAAAGTCGTTATTTTTGTTGTTTTTTCCGCACAAAAAGTATTCTCGTCGCTTGATAAACTTATAGTTGAGCCACTGTAGTCACTTGGACTATTTAAACATTTTCTTCAATGACTTTCTGGGCCGTCAAGTTTCACTCCCTTAGGAAGCCTATGTAGCAGTGATCCAGCTCTCAAATTTAATCAAAAATATCTTCATTTGTGTTCCGAAGATGAACGAAGGTCTTACGGGGTTGGAACAACATGAGGGTGAGTAATTAATGACTTAATTTTCATTTTTGGGTGAACTAACCCTTTAAGTTAAGCTTTTTTGTTATTCAGATATGTAGCAGAATAATTCTATTTTTTTGTTATCCAGATATAGCAGAGGAATTCTGTTTAACTAAAGGTTACATTTGTTACTAAAATGTTTAAGTATTATAGTATGTTTTAATAAAGCTAAAATGCTTTAAAAGGATAAACTATTCCATGTTTGATATAAAGACAATATCATTTCTATCGTCTATCCGGTCAAGGTTTACAGTGATTTTAAGAAGTAATTTGTTTAATTACTTGTTGAGTAACTTAAAATACTTTTCTAATTACTCTGTCTGAAAAGTAATTTAATACAATATTAATGATGAAATTAGTAATTAATTACTTTTTTGAACACCGATCATAATAATGAGCCTTTAATTCTCAAGCGCACACATAAAGCTTGCCAAAGCGCACCGGCAAAAGTAATGATTATAAATGTGTTGTAAAAAAAAAAAAATAGCAAGGAGACTGTTTTAATATTTAATAATTTATTGATGTTTTCTGTGTTTTTGGCTGCAGAGATTAAGTTGACGATGCTGACTCGTCATATCCGCAGTAGTGGATTACATAATCTGAGAATATTTGTTTTCTACTTGAATTGGTTGGCAATCGCTTGACATTTCAAGCTTCCTATAGATATATTTCTCATGTCTGTGAGGCAAGTATACACTTATTGGTTTATTTATGTGACGCACTGCAGTTCAGGGAGATCGAGACAGCAGAAAGCACATCCTGTTTGCCTTCTTTATTTTACAAAAGCACAATGTTTTGTTGTTACTGTGAGCATACACAAATAAAAGTTTGGAATGATGTATTACTCTTATCAGTATGAGCAAAAATGAAGAAGTGATCCTGCAGGCGCCTTCACGTTGTGCAATAAGCACACTATACTTCCGCTTCCACACTCCGCTCAAACGCATTTATCTAGGTTAACGTTAGAGCGAGTGAGCAGCCATGTAAAGTTACTACTTGCATGTTTCAAATGACGAGCCGTATTTGAGGTCGATGGATAATAGGCGAATGTTTCGATTTCCTGCCTGACATACTGTAACTACCACAAGGCCCCGCCATTAACGATCTGTCCCTCACAGGCTTCCGACACTTTTTTCTTGTGGAGTTTTTTTCCTGCGACTAACAGACTAATAAAATCTTGGTCGACTAAGCCTCTTCTGGTCGACTAACGATTAGTCAACTATTAGGATGCAGTCATAGTCTTCAGTGTCACATGATCCTTCAGAAATCATTCTAATATGCTGATTTCTTATCATTATTAATGTTGAAAACAGTTGTGCTGCTTAATATTTTTGTTGAAACCACAATACATTTTTTTTTTATACATTATAAATGTCTTTGTTGTCACTTTTGATCAATTTATTGCATCCTTGCTGAATAAAATTATACATTTCTTACGGCCCCTAAACATTTGAATAGTAGTTTATATATAAAATAAAGTGATCTACCTTTCCAAGCTGCTGCAGGAAAATGAGATGTCTCTCCTCAAACTGCACTGGCTCCTCTTTCTCAAACGCTCCAGTACTGAATCCAGATGCTCCTGCTCTGCTGGGTAAAATGTCACTCTCCTTCACGATCTCATAATCTGAGAACACATTTCATCACTCAACATTACACAGCAAGTGGAAGAATGAGCAACCACACAAATAAATTGACACATCAAAATGGCAGTGGGCCTGGGTGTGTTACAGTGTGACTGTCCTGACCTGGGCAGAAGAGACCGTTGAGGTCTCGTATGATGGCTCTGAATGAAGGTCTGAATGTTGGCTCGTAGTCCATGCAGCTGTTGATCAGGTTAGCAAGCTCTGTCCACTTGGGAGCAGGTAGTTGGTGATGGTTTTCATAGAACAAGTGTTTCTGAATGGAGGATTACAAGAAATGTTCGTCAAGAGGTACGGATTATTTCTTTAATTAACAGCACTTTGTACTAAAACAGGCTTTTCTGATAAATATTCACTGTATTAGTATACTGTGGACACAAGTATTGCTTCACCTTGGAACTGTCCATGTTGGCAAGTGGCTTTTCTCCTCCGCTGCAAATCTCCCATAAAGTTGTCCCAAAGCTCCATTTGTCTGAGGCAAGACTCAGGTTTTTCGGATCTAAGATGCATTCAGGGGACACCCAGGGGATTCGCTCCACGAGAACTATAAAAATATTGAAAATTAACTTAAAATTAAAAGCAAATATTTCAATCAAATGTGACAACCCATTATCTACATATTAGAGACCCTCTGTGGTGAAAATAAAGTTTTTAATGTTGTTTATGTCTGTGTTTAAAAAAAATATACTTTCATGTGCAAATTCATCAGTCAACACCATTGCAGAGTATTTATTTATTTAGCAGCACATTATTAGCTGTTTGATAGCGTAGTCAAGCCAAGGGCTAATCATATTAATTACCGTTATGAGGTACATAGAGAGCATAAAACGCATTACCATTTCTGATACATCGACTTTTAAACGAGCCTGTATAATTTGCTCTTCCGCTTCTTCTGAGTCAGTTTCTGGTTCAAACATACTATATGGCTGGATTAAACCAGTATTTCCACTTGCCATTGTGCAGTGTTTACTACAGTAAAGTTGATGAGTGGATCAGGTATTCTGAGCTGGTGCGAGTGAGTGGAGGCGGGGCTAATTTGCATGTTCATTGATCTGCGTATACTAAATGAAGCAAGGGTGTAGTTATCTTCAAGCTTTTTTTTAAGGCATGAATTATTTTCACAGAAAAAAATTAAAGGTCATTTTGGTGATTTTTATAATTATTGACTTAAATTATCAGCATCAGGCAAATAAACTCCCATTTGGCCTAATTTCATTATGTTAATATAAGCCGTTTAATGCACATGTAAGTGGCTTTCATGTCATTATATTGGCCATCGGCTCTTAAAACAACCCACATTTGTTTACCACACCACTATTTGACACAATACTTTTGGAGCTTATTAACAACAAATCTTAAAAGGGATAGTTCACCCCAAAATTAAAATTCGGTCATCATTTAATCACCCTCATATCATTCCAAACTTGTATGACTGACTTTCTTCTGTGGAATAAAATCTCTGTTTTTTGTTGTTTTGGGCCCCATTGACTGTCATTGTGTGTACAAAAACATTTAAAACATTCTTCAAATTATCTTCTTTTGTGTTCCACAGCAGAAAGTCTTACATGTTTTGAACAATATGAGGGTTAGTAAATAACAGAATTTTCATTATTTTCATTTTTGGGTGAACCATCTCTTTAATAAGATGAAGTCTGCCCTCTACTGGTCAGTGTGCATGACAATAAGTAAAATACGCTTCTGCTAAAACAGTTCTAGCACTGACATTCTACTTCATGGTATCTTGTCACCGAAATGTGTTGTATAAACAGTCAACTCTGCATTTTGATGAGAAAAATGTCAAATGGCGACGAAAATTCATCAACTAGAGTGAAGAAGAGACCGTTTCATTCTAACCTTTATAGACCAAAAAGTAAAGAAAACAAAAAAACATGATAGTATATTCGGAAATGTATAATATGAGGAAGTGCAATGCTAGAGCTTTTATATAAACAGGTCACGTGCTGCGTTCGTCCAATCAGTGACACTGACGCCACAAATACGCAAATAAGGACAATAACTGAGGGTTTAGGAATGTACAGTGAGAAATGTCATCTTATGAATACCCATGATTAATTGCTAAACATATGTAAAACATGAGCAGTATGATGTGTGAAGCAAGATAACCCAGGTTTTCGTTGACCCAGGGTTAACCATTTCAAGTGTGAAAAGCCCTTTTCTGTAAAATTGGTGGGTATGAACAGTTATTGTTCAATAATTATTTACGTTGATTAGCCCTAAAAAACCTACCGTTTTTCTTTCAGACGTATTGGCAGCTATTTGTTTTGTGTGGTAATATTCATAGTCATTATTCATTCACTTTACCATAGACAATAAGCAGAGGGTAGAGGCTGCTTCATGAACAGTTTGAAAGTTCTGTGCCATTGCCACTAGGAGGCCGAATATCGGAGATAATGAAAAGGCGGCTACAGATTCACACAAGTTCTCCAAAGAGCCTTCATGCTGTTCACTCACTCTCTCTGGGCAGCACTGTGATGCCGATGCCAGGGTCACTTAGTTTAATGAATGGAGGGTTTCCCAACGTCCTGTCCTCCTCCCTGATCAAAAGGATGTTTTTTGCACACACATTCCCATGAGCCAGATTTTTTTCCTCCTGAGTGTGATAGAACAAAAGCATTAGTCTACTTGGCTCACAATCCACATGGGCTATTCCTGAATTGTTGCGATTTCTTACCAAAAAAAGCATAGCCCAGGTAAGCTGCTTGGCCACTTCCAACTTCCACCGGATATTAACTGATATTGAGTTCTTGTTTTTCTTCAGGTATGTGTCCAATGACCCAAACTTCACATATTCCTGCACCATGATGTCTAAGACAAAAAAAAAAAAAAATCCACAAGCTCAAGTATGCGGCGGTAAATCATTTTGGTCACATGTGAACAGTGTGAACACTTACTCTCGTCTCCGCACACACAGATACCGTAAGTCAACACCAGATGCTTGTGGGTGAGCTGGCTCATCATGCTGGCTGCCTCAAAGAAAGACTTACAGAGGGGGAAAAAATTAAGAGACTGAAGAATCCACTACATCAGTTAATCAAGCACAAACAAGCATACTTCATTTAGTGATCATGTCACGTCTTGATATACAATTTTATATTAAAGCAGAGGATTCAACCCTGCTCCTGAAAACCCACTGCCCTGCAAAGTTTATATACAACCTGCTTCAGCACACCTGTGATTTTCAAGTGATCCTGAAAAGCTTGAATAGCGAGTTCGGGTTTATTGGAGCGAAACTCTGTAGGACAGTGGGTCGCCAGGATTCAATTAGCTTTTCGATTCAGGGAGTCACAAATCAATTCCAAAATGACTCCAGAATCACTTGCACACTCCCCCCTACATTTATGTGGCCCACTTCGACGAAACTCTCTCTTAAAACGGATTTGATCTATATCTTACCTCAGAGTAATTTCTGTGTGCTTTGTCCAAAACTTTGACAATGACTTCAGTCTTATGGGTTTCTCCGTAGTCTCCCTGCTCTTTCCGAATCCCTTTGAAGATCTTGGTGAATGTCCCCTGACCTTGACTCTCACCCTGGAAACAAGGGTTCATATGTTCATAATCATATGAAACTTGACATTTACACTACCATTCAAAAGTTTGGGGTCAGTAAGGTTTTTACTGTTTTTGAAAGAAGTCTCTTTGATGCTCAGCAAGGCTGCATTTATTTGAACAAAATATTGTAAACAATATAAAATAACCGTTTTATACATTATATTTTAAAATGTATTTTATTCATGTGAAGGCAAAGCTGAATTTTCAGCATCACTACTGCAGTCTTCAGTGTCACATGATCCTTCAAAAATCTTTCTAATATGCTGATTTGCTGCTCAAGAATAATTTCTTATTATTATATTTGTTAAAAACAGTTGCGCTGCTTAATATGTTTGTGGAAACGGTGATATATTTTTTTCAGGATACTTAACAGGATAACATAATAAATGTATTTACAGTCACATTTGATCAATTTACTGCATCCATGCTCAAAAGTATTAATTCCTTTACAAAAAATCTTATCACATGTATAACAGGATGCTTACAAGATCAAGGTCTTCTTTCCTGATTGTGTGGAATACCATCTGACTGATGTTGTGTCTCTGCAGTGATGGGGACAGGGGAACCCCCAAACCCCGATGACTTCGGCACACCAACAAACTCGACTTCTCTATTTACATCAAAAACACAAAGCAAAAAAAGTAAACCATTATAAAAGGATCAACAATACATTTTCAAAATCTAAAAGGTTTGTTTTCCAGGTGATATTGTAGAGTTGTACATTTCTGGTATTCGTATGTCATATAACCAGGGCTTGACATTAACTTTTTTTCATCATCAGCCACTGTGGCATGTGGTTTTCCAAACTTACTAGCCAATCAGCATTTTCACTGGCCACAATTTTGACATCGATACCATAGGGGGAAAACTAGCATATAGATATTTTTAATATTACCTCACAATTTGGCAGTCGATATTTAAGGCTGCTGTCGCTTTAAGACCTGACGCACAGATCCATAATACTGTTTTATATAGCCAATATACTGCACTTGTCTTTATGTGCATGCACTTTTGTGAAAATTGTGCTGAATTATGCTAAATACGCACAATCCCTTGCCGAAATTTAAGCCCTTTACCACCAACAATATTCATCCAGAGCTAGTGAAACGAGTGTGTAAATGGTTTGTGTGTCAACTCGCTGTCGGAGAATTAGAGAGCGAGAACGATCTATTCTGCAGAAGAGTTTCAGATATTTCAGTATCGAAATCTTTGACAACACTAGATTGCACTTAGTTTATTATTTCAGATGCATTTTTAAAACACTACAATTGAAAAATGTATATTATATAAAATTCAACCCGCCAAAGTGGCTAGTAGGAGTGACTGAGTTACACGCCACCGCTGAAATCCACCCGCATTTGGCGGGTGTTAATGTCAAGCCCTGCATATAACCATAATGAGAATATCAGGTGCAGTACTGACCTTTGGCCTTTGGTGAACAGCACCTGCTAAACTGAAAGATGACACCATCTGATTTTACGGTTTCCTTCTGGTAGCACTTGAGCAGCTCCTGTAAACTTCTAAAACTTTTTTTGGTTCCACTAAGATTGTAGTCGCCATTTTCAGACCTGGTGATCAGGCAGTGCTTGTACTCTATGTCCTCATACGCCTGAGGGAAAGAAATCATTATGTCAAGAGACTGTCAGGATGTTTAGAAGGACACAGCTGATGTACACCACCATTCAAAAGTTTTGGGGTCAGTAAGATATTTTTGAGAAAGAAGTTAACATGTGTCTTCAGCAAGGATGCATTAAATGGGTTAAAAGGGACACTAAAGACATTTATAATGTTATAATGTTTCTATTTCAAATAAATGCTGTTCTTTTTAACCCTTTATTTATCAAACAATCCTGAAAAAAGTATCACGTTTTCCACGATAATATTAAGCAGCACAACTGGTTTCCACATTGATAATAATAAATGTTTGAGCAGCAAATCAGCATATTAGAATGATTTCTGAAGGATCATGTGACACTGAAGACTGGAGCTGAAATGCTGAAAATTCAGCTTTGCCATCAGCAATAAATTACATTTAGCAATAAATAAAACAGCTATTTTAAAATAAAATAATATTTCACAATAATTCTGTTTTTACTTTTTGTTCAAATAAATGCAGCCTTGCTTAAGAGACTTATTCCAAACATATTTGACAATATATAAAATAGACAACCGTTATTTTAAATAAGAATGAATGTAATAACATTTCACAATATTACTTTTTTTACTGTATTTTTGACCAAATAAATGCAGCCTTGGTGAGCCTTGATTTCAAAAACATCAAAAAAATGTCCAAACTTTTGATTGGTAGTATATAAAGGTCAGGATTACAGTGGAGGAATATTCGATCTTAAGTACAAAATGCTACTAATTGATAATATATTATGTTTTGTGTAATTAAAGTGGCACTTTGGAAGAACGTACCCCGACTGCAAGAGTCAGGAAGTATTTGTTGAAGTCTTTGGGGCTGCACCGGAGCACAAAGAGACCTCTCTGGTTCCCTGACTTGCGTAGTTTACTGATTGCAAACTCCATTCTGTCAACACAGGCAATGAAAACAATGATGACGCTTACAGATAATGCTTGAATGCAAATCTTCTAAACCTGAAAAAAACTAAATATAAATCATGGGCAGAAATGGGGCTCTACAATAAATCCTTTAGAGAAATCTGTCAGTCATTTACAGAAAATGAAGACTAAATAAATAGCCAGTCATTCATGAGTATGTCCCGTAGTGCTTACGATATCGGCCCGTGGCAGTAGCTTTCGATGGCCTCCAGGAGATGGGGTGGGACCACATCCTTGCAGAGGAAGTGATGGGCATCTGTGGTCAGTCTGTAGTAACCGTCGATTAGAGACACAAATGACAATGCCTCCATTGAGGTGGAAAACACCAGCTCCTGTATGAAAAAAGAAATTTTGTTAGTGCATGATCTGTAAATATTCTCAAATAGCAGGAAGAAATCCAGTAGTTCAAAGGCACTCTGAGACCCTTTAAAATAGAGTAACAATTAAAGGATATCCCAGAGAGTTACAACAGACTTACTAGAATTTTTCCATCCTGTCTGTTGATGGAGACAATGCGGTTCATGTTGGTTCCCTCCTTGCTGGCTTGTCTGATACTGATATCGACAACTTCCGCAAAATCACAATACGTCTGAAGGTCCTTGTGAGAAAGTACAAAAGTGTTATGAAATTTCACCAGCAGCAAAAGAAACCCCCCTTTTTTTATTTTGGCATCAGTACAGAAATATTAATAAATACAAGCAGACTGGTATTTCCTTCAGGATATGACAATGCATTCAAGGCAGAAAAAGAATTGTTTTAAAGTTCCAAGTAGGTTCAGGCTATAGTTCAACATAAATGAAATGCCACATCAGAGCCGATTTGCTATTGTCATGACACTCACTCAGCATGCTCGGTTATTTTAAATTGTAATAATACTTCACAATATTGCTATTTTTACTGTATTTTTGATAAAAAGCAGCCTTGAACAGTAGTGTATGTTAAATGGTTTTTTAATTAATTGTAGAGAAGAATAACTAAAGAATGTTTGATGAATATCAGTGCTGCCTTGAAAACACTGGAGTGTTTTACTAACCCTATTTTTAAATACAGAGTTACTGGCCTGACTAGACCTCAATTAATCTAAAGTCGGATCTGTTTCATCTGAGGTGGGTAGTGGGTTCTAGAACAAACAGCCTTTCACAAAGAGTTCATAAAGTTAAAGCCGTTTAAACATTTACTCAAATCACTCAAATATATGTGTGACCAGATTGACTTCAAGTTTAAATCTTGCTTTGTGTATATGCTTGGCCAAGGCGTGAACATGTGATTTTTGAAGCACGATTTTGAAGTTTAGGTTCAACATCTGAAACTGGTTACCTCAGACTGTGTGTCTTTGTGTCGTTCTCGGCACCACTGGATGCCGCGGTCTGCGGAGATGACGATGGTGACCTGCTCGTCCGAGGGCTCTTTGACCTGAAAGCGTTCGGTGTAGAAGCCAGAGTCCAGGGACTCCAGGCTGATCAGGTATTTGAGTTTTAGGTCGCGCGCCGAGGCTCGGCACTGGCTGAGCTGCTGCACGACTTTCCGAAAGCGATAGCGGATGCGCTTCCTTGTGACAAAATGGTAATCCTGGATTCGCTCCCTCATTTCTTTAGGGAGGAAAGACTTGTAACTGTGAATTTAAAAGATAATGAGAGTTACTATCAAACACCACATTTTGTTTGTAGGATGGATGGCAGTTTTAAAGGTCTTTGTCCCATTTTTGTTTTTATTAGGGCTGTCCAATGATCCAGTAGGCGAATTCCTTCAAACAATTAATCAGTCCAAAACAGCACTAATATAAAGAAAACCAGGCTTATTAAATCAGAGATAGTAGAGAGAATAAAGACTCACAATGCGTTTTCAGTTAATTATTCATTACAGTTTTGCTTTAAAACACGAGCTCGATCATATTCTGTGTTTGGTGGGATGTTTGTAGCTCGCACTCTTCAGAAACACTGTATGCCCAGATGATACGCAAACTATGTTTCTTGGCTGGATAAAGCAAGCCAGAGTCTCGATAGTAAAGTTTTAAAGTTTGCGAATTGTAATAAAGGTAAAGACGATTGCAGTGACGTACAGGAGTCGTAAAGTAAGTGTGTGTGTGTGTGTGTGTCTGTTATATTGATGCGAAAACAAACCGTGTATGTGTGCTCTCGACGTGTGTTTCCACACACATTCAGGATAATGTTTTGATTTGTCATGTGCATGTTGCTGTGTTTAGTAATTTAGGTGTTTAATGTCTATGATGAATTAGGAGATTTGAGATGGTTTGGATTCAGACAACAAAGCAGGTTTTTAAAAAAGCAGCAATTTAAAAATGGGATCATAACTTTAAATGGACTCGTGGTAGATATTATACATTGACAGGTCAAAATATCAAGTAGATCATCCCATTATTGGTACCTAATGTCATTGTAGATGTCCAGTGGGGAGCACTGCTTCTCTTTGGCAGTCCTCATCATGTCCAGCACAGCCATGCCAAGGCACTCCTCCTGAACCTCATGGTCACTGGATAACTTTACCCAGCTGTTTACAAAGTCACTCCTCCACTGCATACACAAAACAGAGAGGGGAACCCCATATCAGTATTACAGTATAAAAAAAAAAAAATCGAGAGAGAGAAATGGCATGGCAGTAATTCTCTGGGAACAATGTTTAAACACCTTTAGAGTTAAGGCCACGTTTAAACCGGAGGGCAGTATTTTGAAATGTTATTACAATTTTAAATAACTGATCTATTTTAATATATTTTAAAATGTAATTTATTCCTGTGATGGCAAAGCTGAATTTTCAGCAGCCATTACCCCAGTCTTCAGTGTCACAACTGTCTGCCGTAATGTGACTGCCTGAGGCCCCGTCCACACTACTGCGTTTTCGTTTAAAAACGGAGACCTTTTGCTACGTTTGCACCTCCCGTCCACACTAAAACGGCAAAAACGGAGACCCAAAACGGAGAAGTTTAGAAACGCTGCCGATCCGTTTTTCGTTTTGAAACTCCGGAGGGCGTTTTAGTGTAGACGGGTCAAGACGGAGGACTTTAGAAACGATGACGTAGTAGAGGCTCACGCTCGGCTCTATGATTGGGTGTCATCAGTCATGGCGTATATCTTTGCTAGCAGCTGTTGTACAAGTAAATTCTGCATTTTACAACGCTATAACTGCCTACATGCGCCGGAGTCTAGCTATTATTCGAGCGATCTGTGACAATTCCCGTGTGCAGCGGCGGCGTTGACCGTATGGAGCGTCGGTTTGGGGTTAACCCAGAGCATGGTGGGATAATTTTATCAATGAAGTTGTGTTTACACCGGCACGCGCATGCCCAGTGTTGGTGAATGGTCACGTGATCCGCGTTTTCAGTCGTTTTAATGTGGACGGAGATCAATTCTAATACGCAGCTAAAACGCTGGTGTGGACGAAGATCGTATTCGTTTTAATTCTCCGTTTCTAAACTAAAACGCAGTAGTGTGGATGGGGCAGAAAATTGTGGCTTGCACTTCTGTAACCAAAGCTGAACTTCTTTTCCTATGTAACGCGACAGCCATGGTACCACACTGGCTAAACACCCTCTGGCTCCGCCTGCTTCAGTAGCCACACCCCAAACTCTTGCCAAAGGTTGAGCTGGAATAAGACTGACGGATCTGAGTCATCAGAGTAAATGCATTTTAAACACAGAAAATCTTACATATTTCACCTTTAACCCAGAGTTAAAAATAATAATATATTTTTTATATGCAGAAACTGATATTTGTAGATGATGATCAATATTCTGATCCAATTAAAACTATTTAATGACAGATGTTCACAAACTTGCTTGGTATGAAAACTTATTTTACACAATATTTACTGAAAAAATGAAACTGTCCACTATCTATTTACAGTGCAGTCAAATGGTTAGGCTGTTGGCCAATTTCGCACATTTTCTATCACCAACCAATAATCTCAAAATGGTAATTATCAGTCAATTAATTAGCCTGGCCGATAACAGTCTATATCTAAAAAGTACCCTGGGTTAATGATATTAAGTGCAGTTAAGAGTATGTTACGTTTAGAACCCAATAGAAAGGTGTAGTCGCCATGGAACTGGGGTGTTACACAGAAAAACACCATTTATAAAACTACTGATAGTGTCAAACAAACATCAAGCAAACAATGTTGTTTTCATTGTATACTACCTACTACGACACTGCTGTGCATTAATACGAGAGTGCTAGAAAAAAACACAGCAGGTAAAAGCAAACATACATTGTGAAAACATCAACCACAAACAGAGCAGACGCAGACTGACAAGTGTACACAAGATGACACTGCAAAGCTGCTGCCTCAAAAACAGGTTTGAAAATGACTCCTGTCTGTGCCAGACTTGAAATTTTAAAGGACATACACCGATGTAATGACAGTGGTTTCCAAACGTTTTCTTTTGGGCCTGTCTTTTGTAAAGACAAATATTTTCAAGCCCCCCCACCAGCACGCACCCACATAAAGACTCTTTTAGAGACATGACCTTGCTTGCAAAATCCTATAGGATTTATTTGAAACATAATTAATACAGTACTAAAACTTCTTAACTTCGACAGGATGCTTTTTAAGTGGTCTCTAAGTGGCATATTAACTTGTTGGGCTTCATACTGCCAGAGGCTAATATTTTGAGGCACGCAACACACTGTGGTCACTCTTCATTACTCACCGTTGTACTGCACCGCCTCATCATATTTTCTTGTCTTGAGGCTGTCTACACAGGACGCAACAAAGCGAACGTTACAAATCCATTTTTTCTTTTCGTGTCAGAAGTAGCGCAAGTGCTTGAAGCACGTCAGAAATAGAACGGGGCATCAGTTTCCTGTCAGGGATTTGTCGTGTCGCGCCATATCCAGTGTAGACAGCATCACTGATTATAATGGGTTCTATTTGCTTTTTTTGCACTTTGCTCCGCAGTGCTCGTTTCTGGTGCAGACACGTTGTTTTGGTAGTTGTGACGTTTGAAGTAGATCCATTATCTCCTTTACCCTTACCTGGCACTGACAGTCCTTTCTAGGGGTGTAACAATATATGACAATATGTATTGTGGATAGTTCACCCAAAATAAAAAGTACTGTGAGAAAAGAAATTCTAGTTTTCAGAGGTTTAGTGTCTGTATTACATTAAACTACTATATATAATGTATAATAATGCAATGGGGGAATATCTGTGTAAAAAGTGGCTTACATCATTTTAAATATATCTAGTCAGTGAAAGAGTGCAAGCATATTTGTCCAAAATAATTCTGTATTTTCAGCTTCAGAATCATGAATATTTTTATTCTGGTGTCACCATTGTCCTATGCATTGGGTTACCAGCACCAAGTCCAAGCCTATTCATTTCCACCCCCAATATAATACCAAATTTAGCATTTTAATCAACAGCACATTTTTCAAAAAACTTTTATCATATGTCTTGGAGTATCGCAATAATATCGTATCGTGAGTTCAGTATCGTGATATGTATGAAATCGTGACATTAGAGTATTGTTACACCCCTAGTCCTTTCACAAACTTGTCCATGCTTAGTACAGAACCATGCATCATTCTTTAATATTTTTAAACGGCTCCCTGCAATTCTTAGTAGTAGATAACTTTATTGTCCCCGTGGGGCAATTGGGTTTGCGGCGAAGTCGCAAGGCACTTCATGACAGGACATCAGACATATGACACAAACAAATACAATACAATGTAATACACTATACACCCTTGGGCCTGACCAGACCAGCTGGACATCTAGCTTATTTTGACTGATTTAAGGCTTTTATGGCAAAAGAGAATTTGGATCTGTTCTTGGTCAGAAGGGGTGGACAGAAACGACGCCTAGATGGCAGTAGTTTAAAATGAGATACCAACGGGCGTGTGTAATCACATGCAATGTTATTGGCCTTTCTCACCATTCTGTCTTTGTAAATGTGTTCAATGCCCAGTAGCGTTATCCCAAGTAACTTGCTGGCAGTAGTAACTGTTTTTCTGATTATCTTTTTCTGTGATTCAGTGGCATTTCTGAACCAACAGATAATACAGCAAGTTAAAACGGTTTCAATAAAAGCAGTATAAAACAGTTGGAGCATTTTGTTATTGACATTAAAAACAAGCAGTTTCTTTAAAAACTACATTCTTTGCTGTGTCTTAGTGTGCAAAAGATCACTCCATGAGTCCCATTTAAGCTTGTTGTCCAGTACAATGCCAAGGTATTTATAGTTTGTAACAACCTGAATAATCTCCCCATTGATAAAAGTGTCGTGGGTTGCTGTGACATTCTAAAATCTATGGACATTTCTTTGGTCTCGATTCTCGATTCTGATTGCCTCCTAGTGGTCTGTTATTTCCTCTATTTCTACATTTACATGAAATATTATGTAGTAATTAAGTATAATTTTACTAATAGTTGAATAACCCTATGTAATGTAATCCTAAAAATTAAATATAATTTTTTTAAAAGATGACATTTAAAACAATCTTTTTTTTTTTGGTAAGTACTTCGACAAAATAGTCTAGAATTTTTATATCCAGCATTGTGGCTGCATTTTTGCATGTGAAGCTGTACTAAAAAGATGAAGTTCTTCAGAATATGAAAAACATCTAATTGTCTTTAAGATGTCCTAACGAGACACACTAGGCAAAGTTCAATCACCTTCCCCTCAGTGACAGTCATCGCATGACATACTGTTAGTGGAAGACAAACGGGCGCCACAAAACCAGCCCACTCAGAGTCAGAGAGCGGCCAGCATGAGTTTCCTTTATTTATCATGCGTTTAGTAAATAGGGGCCTTTATCCGTGCAGATACACAGTGGCGTAATTCACATTTAAACACTGTAAAATCCGAAACCAAGACTGACTCTTCTCTGAGAAGATAATCTAGGCAAAACTGCAATTAAATTATACATGAATGTGCTCAATTATGCAAGATATGCTCATATTTCAGGCCAAGTGAAGCGTAACTGTAAAACACTGCTATGGTGATTCAGTATCCACTGACAGCACACAACACTTAGTTCACAATTAAAGGTCATTTCTTTATTGCAAAACTGACGTGGGGAATCCTCACCTGAGCAAAGAGGTAAGACATTACATAGTCATCCAGGACAGGACTCTCAGATCCCTTCGTCACTCCATAGCGGTACGCCCGAGACGCTCCACAACTATACCAGCCGGGAAAATAGTACCTGACAGGAAATATCGCAGTCACTAAACTGCAGGCTACAAAACCTTGAGACGGAGAGGACAAAGGCCAAATAAAATAAACCAGGTTAATTAAGTGAAACATGGAGCTCAGTGCATTACCTAATTCTGAATAACAAACTCTCGTTGGCTGTTTCGTCTAAATGGAGAACATGATTGGGTGATAACCAGACCCCTTCATCTTCTCTGTACAGTCCAAACAGGCTACAGTAGACTGGTGTAACCCCTGTGAGAAACAGATGAACAAAGAACAGACGCTAGTGAGACAAGAGAGACAGACACAACATCAGCCCTAAGGCCCAAGAGCAACACATAAAAAACAAAGAACGGCAAACAAATGCAAACAATTTTTTACACCAAAACATCTAGTGTGTAGTAAGAAATGCCTGCACAATGCACATATAAACTAGGGACTGGATCATGATGGTCAACAACGGTCCAACAGCAAACTAGTCAATTTGTGAGGTTAACTTTAATTTTAATAGAATTTTCCTTATCTACACTACCGGTCAATAATTAAGATTTTTTTTGTCATGCTTTTAAAAAAAAAAAGTTTATTTAATCAAAAATATCGTAAAAACAGTAATATTGTGAAATATAAAATATAAAAATAACTTTTCTATTTGAATATATTTTACTGGGATGGTAAAGGGTGAATTCCAAACAGCGTTTTTGCACCCTTGAAGGGCACTTCGGGAAGGGGACACCATTTGTAGAAGCGTTCCCTACGGAAATGAACAACTGAATCCCTTCACGAAGGGCCCTTCCACAGGTCAGTTAGTGAAGGGAACATGCAATGGTTTCTTCAAGGAAGTAATTTAATAATTTATGGTTATGTTCTGCTCTTCGGATTGAGCAGGGCACAGGGATGCTCACTTCCGATTGGAATTTGCCCAAAGTCTTCAGTGTCACATGATCCTTCAGAATAGAATCCTGAAAAAAATGCATCATGGATACCACAAAAAATTAAGCACAACTGTTTTCAACATTGATCATCTTTTTTGGTCACACTTTAGTTTAGGGTACAGTTCTCACTATTAACTATTAACTAAGATTTTTGCCTCAAACTCCTAATTACTGCTTATTAATAGTTATTAAGGTAGTTGTTAAGTTTAGGTATTGGGTAGGATTTAGGGATGTAGAATATGGTCATGCAGAATAAGCCAATAATATGGTCTTTATAAGTACTAATAAACAGCCAATATCCTAGTAATATGCAAGCTAATAAGAAACTAGTTAATAGTGAGAATTGGACCCTAAACTAATGTGTTACCTTTTTTTTGAGTACCAAATTAGCATATTAGAAGTATTTCTGAAGGATCATGTAACACTAAAAATTTTGCTTTGCCATCACAGGAATACATTTTAAAATATTGGTACAAAAATTTGCTGAGGCTTATTATAAATTGTATAAGTTGAGTGTTAAATGTACTTCACACCTAAACATGCAAATGTATTTATTAGTTGATGTCTGATGCAATAACAATTAATTTTCTTCAGTGCATAGACAAATAAAGACAAGGTGTTTCTGTAAATTTTCACAGGATAAATGACATCAATCACAGATTAATTAACTAGTCCATTTACATTATTTTAATAGCAGCACCATGCAATAGCAGTAAAGAAAGTCATCTAAAAAAGTGTGACATCTTACAAGACCATAACATGTCTGTCATCAATACCCTGTTGGGGATGACTGATGGCTCCTGGGCTGATTTTTTTAATCTTTTTTAAACAGTAAACACAGGTGGACTGACAGGATCTTATTATATAAGCCATCAATACTACACCTGATTAATGTGAGAATCCAGAGCATGCCACCAATAACTGACTGTTTCTGCAGTAACCTATAATAATAATAATATAATATATATATATATATATATATATATATATAATAATTACATCTCATTTTAAGAATAATAAAAAAAAGATACTGATAATACTGTTTTATCAATAATAAATCAGAGTACATGGGCAAGAAGAAAATAATGTTAGGCTGGTAAAGCCTTTTTTCAGGGAAATCACTTTAACATTGTCCTAAACAGGAGCAACGTGACAAGATTTCAGTAACGGTCCTATTTTTGTTCACAGTAAAATTGAAAACGTTGTGTGACATAGCAGTTTTTGTTTAATACCCAGCAGTGAACATCCCAGTTTTTGATAAATTAAACTTCACAGTGGCCGGGCCTACTCAGAGCAACAAAACAAATATAGACACTAAGCAAACAATAAAATCATGTCGTGATTTATCACATTGCATCTGGATTGAACACAGTGCAACATGATTCTTTATCAGAACATTTAATTCATATCTACTTTATAAATTCTAAATACATTTTTTTTAGCTTCTTTTCTATAATCACATGATGGGCATAACTGACCGCACTCCTTGGCAGCATTGATGATGAGCTGTTCGGTGACATACTCTCCCGGTGGGTAACACAGAGGGGTGCAGTTAGCATCGGTCCGGCTGCTGTGGTAGAGGTGGATCTTGAGAACGGTGGGCTGCTTTGGACAGAGCTCCTCATGGTGGACATCACCATTCTGGTAACGTGGTTCACATACAGCTGTCTCCATGTCCATCACAGAGACACATGTGATGAGAGATAAAACAGCAACATTCACCTGGTGGAGGACATGGAGAAAGAGTATATTATCTACTAGGCTTGGTGCGGTAGTTGTTGTAACCGGTGTAATTACATTACTTGGCCACCGTGGCACATATATTTTTTATTGTCGTTTTGCTTTTTTATAGAAATATAAACTGAAAGCGCCTGCTCTGCTCCAAACAGCACGAGCGGGCCTAGAACTAACATTTTGCCCCACCTGCCAATGGCCGGTGAAATTCACCGGCCATAAATATTTTTTTTACCAGTTATGAAACTGTTTTTGCAAAAACAGGCAGTTATGACACCAAGATTTCAATTAATCTAATCAAATGTAAAATAACACTGCATAGTCTTCACTGTATTAAACGAAAAATAGATTAAACATAGAATAACAAAAGTAATTCAGTCAAGAGCAGTGAGTGTTTTTTAACATTAAAAAAGCAGACAGCAGCAAGTGAATTAGGCTGCTGTCACTTTAAGACCGAATGCACGGATCCAATATACTGATACACACTGTACACATGCGTTTTCCTTCTCAACTGTTTACATTCATAACAATGTTTACTAGGATACTTGCCGAGACAGGCATTTTTTGACACAACTTTGTGTGAATTTGTCCGTTCAAGCGCAAAAAGTCATGAAAGGGCTCAATATTCACACGCTGTCTGAGACACGGTTTTCTGGGCGCGTGCCTCGGATGTTTAAACTTCCCTAACAGCATGCAAGTAATGAGTTCAGTCCATTTTTTCATATTCTTGGGCAATGTTACCAGCCAACTGCCGATTGACACCGTTTCATATACTGTACCTGCCAACGTCGATTCTTACTTGCATTTGCGCTTGGTAAGTGTAAATGTGAGTTTACTTCACTTATCACTAGGGCGGCACGATATTGGAAAAAACTGACATTATAAAATATATAGTTTTTCTGCAATATATATTTTGATATAAAAACAATTTCACCAGATGACTTCATTAGCTCTATTTGGAAAGAATTGTTCAACTAGTTCAACCAAAAACGAAAATTCGGTCATCACTTTGACATTTCAAAAAGTTCTTAAAAAGATCGTAAAACTAATCCATAAGAATTGTGTGGTTTAGTTCAAATTTTCTGAAGAGACATGAACGTTTTTATATGCAGAACAAGTTTATTTTGGGTTTTATTCACATACACATTCATCATCAACGCACACATCTGTTATGATAAACGGAAGTTCAAGAATGTTTGCTTGATGTGCGAAAACCAATGAGGTTCATTCTTGTGTGTTGCGCAGCACATCTGAGCTTAAGCAAGAACCACTGAGGCTTGCGTCAAGCAGGTTCGGTTGAGATTCAGTTTATGTTTGCCGATCAATGTTTATAAAATAAGAGCCTAAATTCTATCCGCTCATCATATAAAGCGATTGTGTCTAGAAAATTTAAAATTTAACTAAACCTCATATTCATATGGATTAGCTTTACGATCTCTTTATGAAGTTTTTGAAGTGTCAAAGTGGTAGTTCCGTAGCTGTCAATGGAGAGTACAGAACTGGCTCAGATTTGATTAAAAATATCTTAATTTGCGTTCCGAAGATGAACGAAAGTCTTACGGTTTTGGAACAACAGGTGAGTAAATGACGACAGAATTTAGATTTAGAACTAACCCTTTAAATTTACAGGACCAAACATTTGCTCTGTGATAGATACATTTTGCAACTAATCCGAGAATCACGTTTTGACCGTGTTGCCTGGTCTGTACGGATCAACTACGATCCCTATACTTGACATTAAAAGCGATTTCAATAGCGGCTCGCTGATGTCCACAAATTATAGGCCTATACACATGCGTGATTGCAAATTCAAAAGTGTAAGTGAAAAGCAACTCGCATTCAAAAGCGGCCTGATTCCTGATGCTTTGTAAGGTTATCTAGTCAAAATCACATCTGTATATTATGAACAGGGGGTCAGGTTTATGTGGACATTCGTCAGATAGACATCTCTGGCCCCTCCACTCTTTTTAAACACATAAACGTGTCCCGTGTGAATGGCCGCTTACATCTAAGGGTTTTCACATTCTTTCATGTGAACAAAAATAAAAGTATTTATTCACTGTTAATACTCTAACAACATGATTTTAAAAAGTTGAAAGGAAATAATACACAACAATAGATTATTAGATATCAATAACACCCCAGAAATTCCAGATCATCAGATCATCTCTCAAACATGTAGTATCTGTCAATTTGGTATTACTCACAGATTAGAGAATGGAATGGATATGATTCACTTCTGTCTGCTCTATGTATCAAACCAGCTGAGAGTTATAGATGTTGTATATGGTCAAAACACAGAAGGTGTGAGCATACTAGCTTCAGAAAAATCAAGTGAACTCCACCAACAACGTCTCTTACCTGTCTGTGTATGAAGAGCACAACACTAGTTCCAACCACTGTGTGAACTGTACACACATTGACAAGCTTACACTGTTTACTTGAATTATATTGCAATGCCCTGCATCATCATTTTTATTTTGCTTCAGTGTTTCGAGTGAAAAATCACTACAATAGTGACTTTACAGTTACTGCTATCATAAAAATACACTTACTTGTGCCATTTATATAATTTTAATTCAACCTACATTTAATTTCCAACAACAAGAACTTTAGCAAAATGTATATTTTAGTCAGAATTATTGTGCTATCCTATGCGCTCTGTCTGTTTGGCGCATATGCCTGCGGCTGAGGTTTAGTGGAGGCGCGTTCGCATCAGGGCTCATCTACTCCTGACAAAAAAAACTAAATATTTTTGCATGACCTTCTAACATTTATATTGTGAAATCAATCTAAGATATTCACTGAGGAAAACACCACATCTCAAATGCATTAAACAGCACAAGCATCAGTCAGAGCATCTGACGGGGCAAGCCGCGTTAAACTATATACGTGTTAACTATATCTTACAAGGTATTTTGAAGCCCTTTTAATAATAAACATGTTTCATGTTTAGGATTATTATGCAGCACTTTCCCCAACTATTTTTTCAGATGCGACTTTCTGACTTCTGAATTCTGACACTGTCTGATATTACAGGCCCTTCTCCATTAAGAGAAAAACACTGGAAATAGCAAAGTGACTGACCCCTCTGAGGTTGGTGTTGATTTTATTTTCGAATTCAGCTTTCAACTAGGGCCGAAACTGAAAATGCAGGATACACTTGGCCGAAAATTTATTGAAATTAACCGAAATAATTAATAAATCAATGAATGAATCAATGAATGAATGAATTAATTAATTAATTAATCTAAATGATTTAATAATCAACACTCAAATAGCTAAAACAGAGTTGTATATATAAGGCAGTATTTATAACAATTTTTAATTAACAAGATTGTTTCTACTCCAGCTTTTTGGTGAAACAAAACATGAAAAATGTATTAAACAAACATTAAACAAAGGTATCAAGTAAAAATATAATGAATATGTAATACAGTGCATATATTTAGCAAAATGCTCTGGTCTAGAGTTATTTTTTTTCTCGCCAACTAATGAGTTTATGGACAGAATAGCTTTCTTGAGGTAAATGTAACGTTAGGCTATAGCCTACAAGCTGTTTTATTGACGTCTTTCCCCGTTTAAAAAACTGATTGAGTGATTACATGAAACAGGATTCACTTCGGCAAGTTGTAATGCATCTTTCAACTAGGGTTGCCAACTACTGAAAAGGAAAATAAGGGAGATATGTGGTTCTTTATAGGAAAATAAGGGACAGAATAAGGGACACTTAAAAGTATTTGTACTGTATCACACAGTGCATGTCATTTCAGTACTTGCGGTTACGTACGTGTATAAAAGGTGATTCTAACTTTTAAAGCTGGTTCTGCAGTGACTACTGCGAACAGGGCAGTTGGCATCCAGGAAAGACTGCATTATAGGGGTGGAGGGGCTAGTTACCCCTTTCCACATGTCCACAGAGTATTAGCTCCAGGGACACCCAAGGCAACTACAAAGCTGAATTCGGAGAATTAGTATAGGCTGCTTTTGGTTGGAAAGGAGACTTTTTAATGGTCATTTTGTGTTTTAATAATGATGTGCAAGGTTATTTGCCAGAGTGAGAACATTTTAAAACATGTTAGCATTCCCAAAATAAAGTTTTTTTAATTAGCTAAAAACTGAAACAGCATACGGTATACATGAATCCGACGAGCGTTCTGTGTAGGCTGCCATCTTGTGGCGACGCCATTACTGAGCTGTTACCGGTATGTAAACAAACCTCCGTGATAACGCACCCTCGATGACAGCTACAGCCAGGCAGAATGACTTGTTGGGTTGATGATGTTAGACAGTGGCCTCCAGTCACAGATGAAGGTACAAACGATCTTACAGATTATTTATGAAAATAGCTTGGCAAGCTAGCTAGGCTAACGTTAGCTAACGAGGAAACTATAAAAAGATCTGTCCATTTGGCAACAATAAATAAATGACATCAAATAAACGAATTCATGTTTTTCATTTGTGTCCATTATTTATCTCATTTTCACATTGCAAAAGGCAAGGCTAGGTACAGCTAGAAAGTATACATAATATCGACCAATTATTGTTTTTAAACCATGGAAAGAGGTCAATATAAAAGCAGGAGAACATTTATGTCACATAACGTTACATTTAGCTCAGGAAAGCCATTTAATGACCATAGCATGTTAATTGAATAGAAAAAATAGCTAGAGAGGAGATTTTGCTGAGCACTATATTACATATTTATTATATATTTTTTACTTATGTCATTAAATAATTGTTATTATAACAAAAACTGCAGTATATTTAATTTAACTTGTTATTTTAATTTGTTATTTAAAAAAAAAAAATCTGTCACAGTCAAGCAAATCAAACATTAACAACAGACATAACAGTAATGTTACTAACGTTATACTGCCCCAATGCGCCCTTTACTGCCGCCATTGAAACAATTTAAACCGGAACATGTTTTCCCACTCGACATTATAAAAGTTGTAACGTTAGTGACAGTCGTAAATCGTGGGCTGTTTATTCCAGTGGACGCAAGTTGCAAATAAAACAATAGGAGGCAATGGCGCAACGCTACCCAGCAACAGCTCAGTTATGGCGCCCGCTTACTTCCGGTAGTTTCGCCGGATTCGTCGATAATGTGTATTTAATAATCAATCAATTAATCTAAAGTACAAGTAAGAAATAAGTATCGAAAGTCCACTTTTGAGTTACCGTACGTTTTCAACTTCAAGCTCTAGCTTTTGAATTAAATCAATCTAGAGACATCTCACAAATAAACAGCCAAACACAACCTCAAAACAAGTCTAACAGACTGAAAAGCCCATGCATGCAAATTCACAAAACTCATGAAATAAGCTAAATTAACTTCAACTCTAATTTTCAACTCTAAACAGAAGATGTAGAGAACAGAAACTCTCTGAAGGAGCAAAGGCCTTTGAATGATTTTCTGCAGCAGAAGACAGAAGCGAGTGAACTTTTGTATTTAATCAACACTCAAAGTTGTATACAAACATTAAGTTGCACATAATGTAGTTTTTATATACAATTGTTAATAATATAATTGTTTCTACTCCAATTTATTGTTGAAATATAAACATTTAAACTGTGACTGTAATAAACTTGTTTTGACAGATTTATAAAAAAAAAAACAGATTAAATAATGAAGACAAATATAGTGCATATATTTAGCAAAATGCTCCTCTAGTTTTTTTTTCTAGCTAAAGCTAACTAACAAGTTCATGGACATTGAATGGCTTTCCTGAGGTAAATAATGTTTACAAGCTGTTTTATTGACGTCCTTCCATGGTTTATACACTGTTTGAGTGATTACATGAGACATGACACATTTCACTAATGTAATAAATTCATGTTTATTTTGTGCTTTAACTAGTGGTAAAGCGAAAGTTTGTTGAATTGCGTGTTAAAATTGACAGAATGTGAAAGGTTCATAATTCATAATGCTTCATAATGGTTCCCCCGTTGCAAGTCTGTGCGCTCTCTAAACTGTCAGAGTGCTGCACTGTAACCGCCTTTGATCCGACAACATCACGTTATAAAGAAACATTTAGAAAATTGATTTTGGACATTTCTGAATCGACTAGAATCGGTAGAAGATAGAATCGTGATTTAAACCAAGCTGAATTTCGAAACGAGTATAAAGCCAAAGTTGTTCTAACTTCTTACTATCTTTGACTTTTGTCTTTAGAATCAAATCCATTAGCTTTTGAAATGTGTTAACTAGCAAGGTTGATGACTTTAGATTAAATAGTGCCAATAACAATTCTAAAAGGCAAACACTTTTTACTGAAATACCACATGAAGCACAGCATAAAAGGAACTGCAATAATAGCAAAACTGGGACTGTCATCATTGCTGCTGTTTGCTATGGCAACATAAAAAATAAAAACAGGACACAAAGGCCATCAGAAGATTATGAAATTTGCTCCAAGAAAAAGAAATGCCTTAACTTGAACTAAACTGGCAGGAGTGCTTTTACAGTAAATGCCTACTGTTTTACAATAAGGCCTTGAGCGACTAACCAGAGTCAGATGGTAGAGTTTAAAAAGCTTACCAGACAGACATTGACTTTAACCTGCACTGTGATTATTGATTATTGGATTGTGCTATTGGACTACATGTTTCTTTATTAATAACTGACTCATATTGTTTGCACTGTTGCAAGCGTTCAGATCCCCCTCGTGCCCTTTCTATATTTAGGAATTCTCTATGGGATGCAGGCGCTGCAACAACTCATTCCTACTGGGAAGGTTAAAGAAAAATAAGAGGGCTTGAATGATGTCTCTTTAAGTTTAAAAATGAATCTTTCAATAACAGCCTTCAATAATGATTCAATAAACATCGTCTTCCAAACAACAGCATCCATGCAAATCCTGTATATTCACACTGTGACAGATTTATAAAACAGTAGGACAAAAATGTCAGACTGAAATGATGTAGGCAAAGTTTCTGATCACCCAATACCTGTCACTGATGTGTGAATCTGGACGGAAATGTGTTGCAAAAGTTCACAACGAGTCATTTTTGCAGTATGGTTTCAAGTATGAAATAAGTACAAGTAAGAAATAAGTATCGAAAGTCCACTTTTGAGTTACCGTGCGTTTTCAACTTCAAGCTCTAGCTTTTGAATTAAATCAATCTAGAGATATCTCACAAATAAACAGCCAAACACAACCTCAAAACAAGTCTAACAGACTGAAAAGCCCATGCATGCAAATTCACAAAACTCATGAAATAAGCTAAATTAACTTCAACTCTAATTTTCAACTCTAAACAGAAGATGTAGAGAACAGAAACTCTCTGAAGGAGCAAAGGCCTTTGAATGATTTTCTGCAGCAAAAGACAGAAGCGAGTGAATTCGACTTCCTGCGGGGGAGTTTTTTTTTTTTTTTTTTTTTGAAGCATCACCTTCAAGCGTCGGGTGTGGGCTGGGCCATTTCTGCTGCCTAACTGCAACACATGCTTTATTCCTAACATGACCATTTGCAATGTGAAATCTATTACATGGTTAAGATGAAAGGGAAGATTTGAGCTGATAGAGTTCCTTTTAAAGAAATGTTGCACACATATGGGCGTTTCTTCAACTACAGGCACTTTTGTGTCACAGGGTTTGATTTAAATATTCTATAAAAGAGTTTTACTAAAACAGACTTAAACTTCAGTAGATTTTGAACAATGAAGGTCGCATTAAAACTGCCGTGAACACTTTTTTTTAACTCTACCTTCAAGATACAGACTTTGAATCTTGAACTATATAATATTTAGGCTAGGACACCTTTAAAGGCCGTTTTCTCAACATGAAACTGAAATCTCTAACACTTACATGCACCTAACATTACGGCTTTATTTCTATCTAAATTCTAAAGGTTTTTACAAAGGGGTTTCTTTGTTAATATATAATTTGCGTGGTAATATATATATATATATATATTTTCTATTTTATTCCTAAAAACATGGTGAATTTTGTTCTGGCTGTTGAAAGTATTTTCTGATTTTATATTGTCTGAGTGATAAAGAGATATGAATCAAAAATCCCCCCAAAAATCTCCTCAGTAAAAAACAACATCAAAAACATTTAACTCTCATGTCAAAAAAAAGAAAAAGAAAAAAAGAGAACGAGAAAAAAAGTTTTCAACCTGGCTCAATCTAACGTTCAGATGTATGTTCTGGAAATGTAGGCTATGTAAATTAGTGCTATTTAGTAAGACAATGGCTCATTTGCATATTAAAACATAACATTTCAGAATACTTGGAATTTAGTCTTAATGTACAGTTATCAACTGGGCAACTATGGAGATAACTGATGATAACTATTCGTTTTTTTTTATACTTTAATCACCCGTGGTGTCGTGCCTTAAATCATATATTCTAAAAACGTTTAGACAATAAATGAAATCTAATTGTCTAAAAGTAAACATTTTCCACCGCAAGACAAGTTAAATAAACTGTGTGAGTGTGAAAAGACAGTTAATATATTTATTTATTTTACAAATGGCCTTAGTTGAACTTGATGAAGACGTATGAATTATGCATGAATAGAGGTGAAATGAGTGCAGCTGAGATTTCCTTCAGGTTACAGACTCCTGTACTCCGTTAATTTATCAACAATCGTAGTCGACAGATTGCCAGTGTGCCAAACTGGCTGTACAGTTACACTAAAGAAAATGATTTATACATGACAGCATGTATAACCTATTGAATCCAATCTAACGTTACAACGTTAACATAATATGCTCTTATAGAGTGCAATACACAAGACAGAGTGTTTTAAAGCAAAAACCACATTCGCACACGAAAACCAATTACTGTAAAGATAAATACTTACTTGTTTGGGGTTGCTTAGCTAGCGACACTGCTAGCCAACTCGAGTGACGATCAACGCACTTGAAACTTCCCAATATCAAAGCGAAACAGTCATTCAATCCATGCTGCTTCTTTTACTCCAAATGTTTTTGTCGCTCAGTGTCAGTCACTTAGATCGACCATCCCGTTAGTTGTCGTAACATTTGACTTACTGTACCACAGCTCGCTAAGGGGTCAAGTTTAGACGGCTAGCTGCGCGTTAGCATGTGCTGTTGCTTCCCATATTTACAAAACATGACCACAGGAGCTTCGCATTTTGCATGCTGTCTCGACTCAATACGACCGCAAAGGCGACGACATATGTTCTTAAATAAAGCCACCAGATGGATATGTTATGGACGCGACATGTCTAACATGTCTTGACAGCTAGCGAGCATGCTAACTCACCCGACATGATAGTCAAGACTATCAGGAGGTCATGCTTTAACAAACCACATCTACTCGTCTTTAAACGACTGTTGTTTTGTCCATCCTTTTCAAAAAGAGTGAAATGAAGAGCAGTTTTAATTTCCAGGACGCAGTCTGTATGTTCCTGTGCTGTCTCAGTGTCTCATATGCAGGTGGCGCCCTGTGCGTACTGCAGTTGACACGCCACTCAGAGTCTCCGCGGGAAGTGTCTCAATACCCAGTGTGCTGCCTACCTAGACAGCATGTCTGGACAGGATAGGTTCATTAGCTTATGTTTCCCCAAAATATGCCTATATGATGCCCAGGCCCAGAAATGCTTAAAGGTTTTAAAACACAACCTGTGTGAAACAGAACAGAATAGTGATTCACTGACCCACAATTCACCGGCTGCTTCATCAGATTACAATCAATCATTAACCAGCCTATAGAGCCTACCAGGACGGGTCCTTTAGATTATTCATGCATTTTATATTTGGTCGTGGTTGAAATGCATATTTTTGGCTGAGTGACTTGGTTAAATAATAGCAAGGAAGTAAAAGTCAGGATGGTGAACTTGTCCTTCATACCGACCCTCTCCTTTTGACCTTTTAGTTTGGTTTTAGGTGAAAGCAAAGTATGTTTGCTATACACATGCTCCACTGCTTATTCAAACTAACTTTTTCCCCCTTTTCAATTGATCAAAATTTCAAACAAATCCATTTACCCAAACACCAAACAGTGTGATGAATCAACAGCATATTTTGACTTGGATTCTTGAGCTATAAACAAAACAAGGGTAACTTTGCACAATGTATGATACATGCTCGGTTTCACACACAAGGCTTAAGCTTAGTCCCAGACTAGAATGCATGTTTGAGCTGTTTTAAATGAAAGCAACTTGCAATGACATATCTTTAATATGTCACTGTCATTGTTTTGTCTCAAGATGCACACCAGTATTTTTTTTTCTAAGGCACATTTATAAAAGCTATAGTCCTAACTGAACTGAAGCCTAATCCTGGCTTAATATAAGCCCTGTCTGTGAAACCAGGCCTATAATTTCTCCAAAATTGTTAGATATGATCAGTGAAATGATCATTCAGAGCCTAAGCAGAGGCACAACAGCAACTTAGCCTTTAAAAACATGCTTTAACAATTCAGTTAAGATATATTGGAAATATTTCATTATTAGTTTATTTATTTATTTATTTAGTCTTGATTACTTAAGCCATCACACTTCAAAATGTTAGAATATCATTGCATTAAATACAATTTCAAACTAAGGGCATTTACTTTTAATTAAGATAGAAAGCATAAACACTTGCAAAAAACAACAGTAGACCATGCTGTACATAAAGCATAAAGGGTCGTAAAACAAACAACAATAATAGGGTACTGTACATATTGTACATTAAAGGTCAGAAAAACAAACAACAAAGACAAAGAGAAAAAAACACAGCTCTCGGACGGAATTAAATGCCAAAGAATAAAAATGTGTTTTAAGACTAGTTTTAAAAAAAGACACAGTTGGGGCCATCCTCACAGACAATGGTAATAAATTCCAGAGTTTAGGGGCAGCTACTGCAAAGGCACGATCTCCCCTGTGCTTCAGTCTTAGGACGACCAGCAGCATATGGTCAGCAGACCTCAGAGACCTTGATGGGACGTGCAGTTGTATAAGGTCAGAAAGGTAAGTTGGGGCTAGGCCATTTAAGGATTTATAAGCAAGCACTAAAACCTTAAAATCATCCTAAAACGGACCGGATGTCAATGTAGGGAAGCCAATATGGGGGAAAGATGTTCCCGTTTACACTTTCGTGTTAAAAGTCGAGCTGCTGCATTCTGCACTAACTGCAAGCGAGAGGCCTGGTTTACATCAACATAAAGGGCATTACAATAGTCTAAACGAGAAGAAATAAAAACATGTAAGCCTTTCAAAATCATAAAAAAAAAAAAAAAAAAAAGGCTGGTTGTCATTATCATGTGACCTACCAGCATCAGTTACGTCACTTCACCTCCATTTACAAATCCTCTCCCGTCGCCTCATGGGATAGTAAAGTGTCCATTTGATGCACACTTCAGAATCTCGCCGGAAGAGGTCATCCGAGTACTTTTTTTTTTCATACTCTTTTATAAGTTCTGTGAAATCGGACATACTTCTTTTGTCATATACAGTTTTCTGCTTACTATATGGAAGTATGCGATTTCATATGCAGCCAACGTTTTATGTGCACAATAAAAAATAATAAAGCACTGTTCAAAACTAAGTCAAAAGGCGTAATATTTCATTTGCTTTAATATTTTTTGTACTCTCTTTTGCCTTCAGAACTGCATTAATTCTTTGTGGTTTAGATTCAACAAGGCCCTGGAAACATACCTCAGAGATTTTGGTCCATATTGACCTGATAGCCTCACGCAGTTGCTGCAGATTTGTCGGCTGCACATCCATGATGCGAATCTCCCATTCCACCACATCCTAAAGTTGCTCTATTGGATTGAGATCTGGTGACTGAGGAGGCGATTTGAGTACAGTGAACTCATTGTCATGTTCAAGAAACCCATTTGAGATGATTTGAGCTTTATGACCATGGCGTGTTATCCTGCTGGAAGTAGCCATCAGAGGATGGGTACATTGTGGTCATAAAGGGGTGGACATGGTCAGCAACAATACTCAGTAGTGTATAAACGATGCTCAGTTGGTAAACACATCCCCCACACCATTACACCACCGCCTGAGCTGTTGAGAGGCAGGATGGATCCATGCATTCATGTTGTTTATGCCTAATTCTGACCCTACCATCTAAATGTCACAGCAGAAATCGAGACTCATCAGACCAGTTAACATTTTTCCAATCTTCTATTTTACAGTTTTGGTGAGTCTGTGCAAATTGTATCCTCAGTTTCCTGTTCTTAGCTGACAGGAGTGGCACCCGGTGTGTTCTTCTGCTGCTGCTGTATCACACCTTCTTCAAGGTTCGATGAAAGATGCTCTTCTGCAGACCTCGGTTATAATGAGTGGTTATTTGAGTTACAGTTGCCTCTCTATCTGCTTGAACCAGTCTGGCCCTTCTCTTCTGACCTCTGGCATCAACAAAGCTTTTTCACCCACAGAACTGCCGCTCACTGGATATTTTCTCTTTTTCTGACCATTCTCTGTAAACCCTAGAGATGGTTGTGCGTGAAAACCCCAGTAGATCAGCAGTTTGTGAAGTACTCAATTAAGACCAGCCCGCCTGGCACCAACAACCATGCCACGTTAAAAGTCACTTAAATCACCTTTCTTCCCCATCCTGATGCTCAGTTTGAACTTCAGTAGATCGTCTTGACCATGCCAAAATGTACAATCTCCTGAACTCCAAACTGAATGTCAGAATGGGAAAGAAAGGTGATTTAAGCAATTTTGAGCATGGCATGGTTGTTGGTGCCAGACGGGCCAGTCTGAGTATTTCACAATCTGCTCAGTTACTGGGATTTTCACGCACAACCATTTCTAGGGTTTACAAAGAATGGTGTGAAAAGGGAAAAACATCCAGTATGCGGCAGTCCTGTGGGCGAAAATGCCTTGTTGATGCTAGAGGTCAGAGGAGAATGGGCCGACTGATTCAAGCTGATAGAAGAGCAACTTTGACTGAAATAACCACTCGTTACAACCGAGGTATGCAGCAAAGCATTTGTGAAGCCACAACACGCACAACCTTGAGGCGGATGGGCTACAACAGCAGAAGACCCCACTGGGTACCACTCATCTCCACTACAAATAGGAAAAAGAGGCTACAATTTGTAAGAGCTCGCCAAAATTGGACAGTTGAAGACTGGAAAAATGTTGCTTGGTCTGATGAGTCTCGATTTCTGTTGAGACATTCAGATGGTAGAGTCAGAATTTGGCGTAAACAGAATGAGAACATGGATCCATCATGCCTTGTTACCACTGTGCAGGCTGGTGGTGGTGGTTTAATTGTGTGGGGGATGTTTTCTTGGCACACTTTAGGCCCCTTAGTGCCAATTGGGCATCGTTTAAATGCCACGGCCTACCTGAGCATTGTTTCTGACCATGTCCATCCCTTTATGGCCACCATATACCCATCCTCTGATGGCTACTTCCAGCAGGATAATGCACCATGCCACAAAGCTCGAATCATTTCAAATTGGTTTCTTGAACATGACAATGAGTTCACTGTACTAAAATGGCCCCCACAGTCACCAGATCTCAACCTAATAGAGCATCTTTGGGATGTGGTGGAACGGGAGCTTCGTGCCCTGGATGTGCATCCCACAAATCTCCATCCACTGCAAGATGCTATCCTATCAATATGGGCCAACATTTCTAAAGAATGCTTTCAGCACCTTGTTGAATCAATCCCACGTAGAATTAAGGCAGTTCTGAAGGGGAAAGGGGGTCAAACACAGTATTAGTATGGTGTTCCTAATAATCCTTTAGGTGAGTGTATATATATATGTATAAAAAATAGTGTATAGTGTATAGTGTATAAAAAATATATATAGCCTATATATATATTATATATATAGGCTATATATATTTTTTCTTTCTTTCTTTCGTTCGTTCTTTCTTTCTTTATGTCATCGAAGGGCAATTGTTTTTACAGCAAGACCTGCATACAAAAAAGACATTATACAATACATAAAAAAATTACATAAAAAATTAAACAAGACAACGACAGGCCCAAACAACTATACTTCCACCTACTCCCCCCATCCCCGAATTTAACAGAGAAATAGAAGTAAGAATAAATGAATGTTTGTACATGTTGCTCCTGACAGAGGGAAATCTTAACCAAGATCCTGAGGGTAAAAACTGAAACTCAGAAGAGAGAGGATTGCAACTAAACATTAAGATGGATTGGGCTTTTCTAACCACCTGGCGATTCAACAGGATAGGGTGACTCTGCTGAATTCCTAAAATCTTACTACTAGTTTTAACAATTTTTTGCCAAATCAGTCTTTGCCTTCACACTAAGACTACCATACCAGCATAACATAGCGAATGTTAAAACGGACTCAGTATAAGATTTGTAAAACAAAGTCATCAAGGACCGATCAACGTTAAACTTGGACAGTCTAGACACACGTTGCTGGCCCTTTTTACAAATCGTGTCATTGATGATATATATCACTGATTTTTGAGACAAGGGACAA